ATCTGCAGCACACGTCTGATCGTTTTTGTGCTTGGTAGACTTGCTTCAGCGTTTCCAGGACTCAAATCATCCAGAATCCCATATGATGACAGCTTGGGATTATTCTCCACAATAAACTTGATGCGTCTTGTCAACCTTTCAGTCACTTTTTTTGGTCTGCCACTTCTCCCACGTGACGAAAATGTTCCACATTGTCGAACTCTACTTAATGTCTTACTACACAAGATTGTGATACATTTACAATTTTTGCAATATCTCTAGTTGAATTTCTTTGTTGAGCTAATATAAGAATTTGACCTCTAATAACTTCTGATAATTCCTTCTTTTTTCCCATTAAAATGATCAAAAAATGTAATTAAAACTGCTGCTTAGCTACCACAAATGGTTTAACTAAATATCGGAACAAAGACAACTAAATAAAATTAATATTTCTGACCAAGGTTCAACAAAAACACAAAAAAATGAAAAGTTCACATGTGATTCTAAACTTTTGGCCACGACTGTAGTTATAAATAAGTATATTATTTATCATTATTTTATTGTTGTTGTTGTTTTAGAGTTATTTAAAGTTTTTTTCGAGTTATTAGAGATTACATTGGTTTCGGAAAAAGTTAGTTTTATACATAGTTTGAAATGTTTTTAAGTTAATAAAAATTCATAAAGTTGTTAGGGTTTAAAATAAGATCTTTTAATAACGTTTTCAGAGTATTTAAGCTATTCGATTTTTTTAGTTGAGAGTTTTTGGACATTAGTTTGTTATATAGACAAAGACCACGGTACGAAATAGAAAAGCGCGAGAGATGAGTTTTTTTAAAAGGTACGTTGAAGTTTCCCGTTCCTCTGGTATGGTATCTGTTTTTGTTATTTTGAAAGAAGTTTTTTAAAAAGTGAGAAGGAACAAGTCCAAGTTTATATTTGAGCATAAACAACAAATTTTGGAATATATTGATTTGATATACATTTAGTGCTTTTAAATTTTTTAAAAGTGGTTCAGCTTGCGAGAATCTTTATTAAAAACTAATCTAGCAGCATGCTTTTGTTTCCGATATAGTGTGATTAGTTTGGATTTATGAGTACTCGCCCATGCAACATTAGCGTATATGTAGTAGCATTGAATGAACGAGAAGTATAGGAGCTTTAAATTATCAGGAGACAGTATAGAGCTAGCTTTGTAAAGGATATCTATGTTTTTTGATATTTTGGTATTTAATAATCTATATGTGATTTCAATGAGATGTTCTCATTAATAAGTATCCCTAGAAATTTAGTTGCTTGGGTTCTCTCTATTTCTTTAATAGGGGAGATGAGGGCGCATTGATCGCCGTTGCACTATTTTGAAAACTGCAAACAACCCGATCTAGATATAAAAACTTATTAATTACTAAACTAAACTAGAACAATCTGTCTTTAAGTAAAAATGTTTTAATAAAAAACATTAATGAACGTGGTATATTTCAACATTACAACAACCCTTGCAAAAGATCAATGTATCCCATGCAATGGGGTACTATGATCTCCGATATGGGGCGCTTTGATCTTATATGAGTAACATTATTTACATGTTTAATACTGCTATACCTAAGTGCTACAAATGCATAAGTTGAAGGGTATTAGTGTATATTATATAATACATCTAAAAAAAAAGTAAAATTTAAAACATATATATATATATATATATATATATATATATATATATATATATATATATATATATATATATATATATATATATATATATATATATATATATATACATATCATTACAACCTAATACACACCAGTGTATAAAGTTTACATTAGAAGAATAACCACAATTCTATCTATGAAAATAAGCCCGTTATATACTACTAACATATATATGTGTTAAGTTTTACAAAACTTGAAGCTTATAAAGTCTATAAGAATACAGTATTTTAAGTTTATAAAGAAAATACAAGATTCATACAAGACTTTTATTAGAACTAAAGTTTACAAGATTATTTTTTTATATTATCATCCTTTGTCAAAGTCAAGTCGTGATGGTGCTTTTACATTATATTGTTTTTGTTCCTAAGCAAGTAGTTTTTAACTTTTCACCTTTTTTTATCTTTTGCGATGAGTTTCTTTTGTTGGTTGATTTGTTTTAGGGTTTTCTTTTCTTCTGACAAACGAATTTCATTTCTGATTGGAGTATCAGTCAAAATCCTTGTTTTTAATTGCCTTTTTTTAACACTTCTTTTTTTAGCAGATGCTTTCAAGAGTTTTATTCTTGATCCATAATGAAGGGCAAATCTTATTATTTTTTACAGCAAACTCGTATGCCAATAATCGTGTTGACTTAGTTGAAAGTCCATAGTTCATTTTTGATGCAAGTAGTAAATAACTTGACAAACTTTTTTCATCTTCTGCAGTAAAAACTTGTTTGTTGTAATTAGGCTTAAAAGATTCATTTGGGTTAAGCTTCTTTTTATTAAAATATCTTTTTAAGGCCATTCGATTTATGCTAAACTTGCGAGCCACATTCACTGGTCTGCCCTCTAAAACTTCATTAACAGCTGATTTCATTGTATCACATGATATAGCAACTCTGTCTGTTTTTTTTTTCTAAAGAAAAATAAAATGATTGTTTAAAAAAAATATTTTATATAATAATATTATGTAAACTAATTGTAAAATTTATGTAAAACTAAAAACTAATGTTATTAATACTAGTTTTTAACACTATTACATTTTAAAAATGAAATTTTAAAAGTTTATATAAAGATTTTTTATTCGTCATAAGTTTAAATGTATAAAATTTAAGTCTTATAATTATATTGGGGCACTTTGATCCTCCGATCAATGAGCCCCGCATAGTCAACGATTAATGTGCCCCATTAGGTACAGTTTTTTTTTTTTTTTTTTGTTCTTATTACAATTTTATTTGGTATAATATCGTTTTACATAAAATAAAAAGAACACGGAAACTCGAAGAGGATGGCAAGATCCTGTCACCGAGAACCGTTTAACATGCGATACAAAATAAATAAAAACAAAATACCGATATATATATTTTTTTAATGTTGATTTTAGGTGCCCCAAGAAGTCCTTACGGTCTTATCACAGAGCACCGCGGAAGAGCATTTAATAGGAAGCTCACGCCTCCTTCCCAACCGATGTCGCAAAACTTGCCCATAGGTGGGGTTTGAACCACGGGATCTTACGTTTCTGAGGCAAGTGCGCTACCACTGCGCCACGGCTGCTGCTATTTTTACAATACAAGATTTTTAATAAGCCAAAAACAAACATAAAATACCGTTAAAAAATGTCAAAATATGTAATAAAACTAAATATTTAAATAAAATTTTCAAAAAAACTCGAATTGTCAAGATAACTTTTTTCATTTTATTTTTGAAAGTAAGAAAACTACAATTTTTAGAAAAATCAAAGTTTTTTAACACTATTTGGTTCCACAGAAAAGCTCCGCGATATGATATAAGAGATCTTCTAAAATTTGTGTGCGAATAATGTTGATGAATAAGATTGTTATTTCTTAATTCATATTTGTTTCTTGGCTTTATTGCATATAAATTGATATATTGATGCCAATAAGTTGATATATTGATGCCAATAACTTCTATAAATACAGTAACCAACTCAAAAAAACAAATTTATTATAACTTAACACATGAGTTTACAATAAATTGGTTGTAAAGTCATACGGAAATCTAATTAAAAATTTATTTAAATTTGTTTACAACTTTCAAAAATCACTTTTCATGATGAAAAACAGTCTTTTCAATTTTCTTAACGCTGAAGTTGATCTTATCAAAAATTATTACGATTAAGCAATGAAGGGTAGTATAATGGTTAATTAAATTGCAATCTCTGTTAAATTAAGGCAAAAGTAAACGAGTTAAAGCTAAAAGATCATACTGCCCCGGCAATCAATGCGCCCCCATCTCCCCTATCTATATTTGGCGAAGGTAGATCGGGAGGTATTTTTATATGGTTAGAATGAAAAAGAATGTATTTAGTTTTTTCTGTGTTTAGCGATAATTTGTTAGATTTTAACCAACTGTTTATTTTTTTAAGTTCAGAATTTGTAGTTTCATACAGTTCTGTAATAGATGAGGATGCATAAAATAAATTAGTGTCGTCTGCGAACATTATGACATCCAATTGACTTGAGGCTTTAGGAAGATCGTTTATGTATATTAAAAACAAAAGAGGTGCAAGAATGGAACCTTGGGGGACACCACATTTTATTTTGAGTAATTTTGAAATTTTTTTCACGTTTTCTGTCTAGTAATAAGTTTTTGAACCAGTGCAACGCCTTTTATCCAATTTTCCTAATTAAGATAGCGCGATTTACTGTGTCAAACGCCTTAGATAAATCAACAAAGATTCCAAGGACGTATTTTTTGTTTTCAAAGGAGTTATTTATATTTTTTATAAGATCAAGGATAGCGTGTTTGGCTGAATGTTGTTTCTGGAATCCAAACTGTTTTTAATTTAGGATTTTGTTATGTTAGACATTTATACGGATTATTGTATATTACTCTCTTCAAAAGTTTTGAAAACGCTGGAAGAACTGAGATAGGTATGTAATTGTTTAGTGTAAATGAATCCCCGGTTTTTAATATTGGTATTACCTTAGCTATTTTAAATTTATTCGGTGCAGATCCTGTAATAATTAAGGATTAGAATATTTCATAGATTGGTCGCTTTATCACCGGAAATACATTTACAACTACATAGCTACAAATGTCGTCTATCCCAGGAGCCTTATTTGCCTTAAGCGAGTTTTTTGCAATTTCTAGTTCTACATGGTTTAGTCCAGAGAAAATATTTAAACAGAAATTTTGGTTTGTGATATAGGTTAAAAAGGAGATATCAGGGCATTGAATTTTTGAACCAAAGTAAATAACTGCCTACAAGATCCTTTTTTTCGACACAGTTTAATGCTAGTCCAACCTTAACTAACAAGTGATTTTTTATTAGAATACTTCCCTTAAAATCCTGCCTTAAAAAATAACACATTTTAAGCGTAACGGAAACATTTTTTAGTTCTTAAAACAAAATCTGAATTCGTAAAAATCACTATTGTTTAGGTTTTAAACCTCTTTTACTAGTTTGTACAATTTAAAAAGCATTTATTATGCCAGGAGTTATTTTTTGCCAGATTTCTTTATTCCTCCGGTTGCTAAATAAAAAATTATACTATATTTTTCAAATTTGACAAATTAATACAAAAATCAAATTCAACAATAAATTTACCTAGAGGGCCTTTAGCAGCCGCTTTCTTTTTTAAATCATCTAATTTCTTTTGTTCTTCTTTTTGCTTCTGTTTGAACGCAACATCCTCCTAAATAACATGTAAATATATGAAAAACAAAAAACACTTTACGATTCCACGTTAAATGACTCAGTCCAGCTTTTCTTCCAAGAAATTGATTTACCATGTTAGGAATACGAAATCTTAAAGTTCGATCTGTTCAGCACCCTAAAATATCATGTTTTCGTATTATAGAGTTCATCATATCTTACACCTCCTCCTCCCGCTAAAGCGAACTACACCAGAATATGAAACGGATTTATACATTAATTTCTTATAGGTTTACACATTAATTTCTTTTAATAAAATATGATTTAAAAACTTATTTTATTGATTTTTAAAAATGTTATTAAGTAGCCCAATAGTAGTTACAATTTTTCATTTAAAGTAAATAAAATAAATGTAACTCTGATACAAACTAAATTAACTTTAAAGCCAATAATTTCGACTTTGGGTTACAGGAATAAGGCAATTTATATAATATTACATTATGTATGAGTCAAGTTCTTTTAAAATTTTTTATCATGATTAGAGCCAAAAAGCAAAACTTTAAAGAAACTGCAAAACTGTTTCATGAAAATATTTGTGGCGGTCAGTAAAGCAACTTTTCATCCATCAAATCTTAAAACTAGCAAAATTCATTAGACCTACTTGCTCTTTGTAAGTGAAATTCATTAGAACTACTTAATCTTTGTAAGCAAAATTCATTAGACCTACTTGCTCTTTGCAAGACTAATTTAGATTTGGCTTTTTCAAGTTCAGATCTCAGCGTTTATGTTATTATTTTCTGAGTTTTTCCATAAATTAAGCCTCACTCTAGGGGAAAGGAGAGGCGTTAGTGGATTTGTGATGACTAGAAAAAACAACATACATGAACATAAAAGAAAAAAGAAGTTACAAGGTAAAACATGTTTTAGTACTTTGTATGGATTGCTTGAAGTTTTAGAAATGCCTCTATTCTTTACATCATTGAGACAGTAAGACTAAAAATATTTTGGGGTTAATTTATAACACCACGCTTTTATTATATCTTTTCTTAAATCTGCTAGCGAGGTTGGGTTCTGTTTAGAAACTTCTGTTTTCAATTTTATTCAACAGTTTTGGACAGGTTTAAATCAGGTGAATAACCCGACAAGGCAAAAATATTAGATGCATTTTTTGCAGTCATGTCTTGACAATTTTGGACTGATGCAAGTTGCCCTGATGTGCATGAAAATATCAAACTTTCTAATTCTAAACCAAATAGATTATGTTGTTCAATATTTCTAAATTTACAGAATGGACTGTGTCACAGTCTCACTTGATGCACTGAATTTTAATTTATATTCTTTAGCAGTTGTTTCAGACATCTTCATTTGTTTACACCTGCCGTATTTCATTAAAAATTGTACTTGTGTACGTTTAACAAGTTATAGCTAAGATAATAATGATTGATTTACACATGATTTTAATGTATATAGATCATATAAGTTATTTCTCTACTAAATCTCTATTAAATTCTCTATTAAATTAAAGTTATTTTTCTATATAAGATACTTTCCTATTGAATGGTAACTACACAACCACCCACGCAATGAGTGATTATTTAGTGTTGCAAATACGTTTTTGAATTAATAAGTAAAAATCTATAATAATAAGTAGCCAAACTGTTTTTTTTTTTTAATATAACTGTAGTTAACTTTGTGATTCGTAACTGAAGTTAACTTTGTGATTTGTTTTCCAAACAACTCAAATTACTTAATTTTGCTCCTTGATATTTATTCTGTCTCTGACTATAGCTTTTGCTCAGTTTTCCCTCATTCTCCTCTAGTTAGTGCAGACCATTGAAAATTTACGCTCGTTTTTTTTCCTTATTCAGATTTATTCAATCAACTGATTCTTACAGCTACTATAAAACTGACTGGAGTTTTTATTTTTTTGTCATTTAAAAAAAATTTTTTTATTCAAACATCATTTTTTTTCCCTAGTATTTTTTGGCTGTTGTCTTTAATCTTTTAGGCAAAAATTGAATCTCTTTGAAGTTTATAGATGCAGTCAAACATTAAGGTTTATTACTCTCATTTTTAAACCTTGTATTTTTTAGAATAAAGCTCTGAAAATTACTATAAAATCTTTAGTAGTGTTAGTTGTACATCTCTCATATATTGCATACAAAGGTCTAATATTTAATTTCTCATATATTTGACTGAATTTATTACTTTTCCAAAGAATAAAGCAGAGTTACTTGCAAAGCTCTATTCTTCTAATTCATCTTGAATTTAATTACCACACTCTTTCAGACAATATTTTATTATGCATTAAATAAATTCTATGAGCTGATGGTTTTGACACATAAAAAACTTTTAATAAAAAAATCTGGCTTGTAGGCCTTCCACATTAGCTGGATTTTTAATATCACCCTTTCGTTAGAAAAGACAAAAACATGTGAAAGTAGTTGGAACTGCTCTAGCAATCAAGTTTGAGTTTTTGCTTGAGGTCCTATAATGCTCTGCAAAGTATCATTTATCATTAAGATGTATATAAGATATAAAATCATTGGTTCTGTTAAAAATCAAAAGACTTCGTTGTCCTTTTAAGACATCAATAAAAATTGTTGATTGCACAAAAAGCAATGATCACAATGCACTCTTAGAAATCATAAAAAAATGTCAAACACAATGATGGCTAATTAAGGTTTGGGGATGCATTGCTTCAAGTGGTTTGGAAAAGGCTGGTGACTATCGAAAGTATAATAAAAGACAACTGTACGCTGATTTATTTTCAAAAAACTTGTGCTAATCAACTAAAGAATTGCATTTAACTGTTTTTACCTCCAACAGCAAAAAAATTTTTTTCCATTAAGACAACTAAAGTTTCTAATACTAAGATACTTATAACACTGCCATAAAAACTACACCTTCCCTTATTAAAATTTATTTTAATTAAGGATATACTGGCCTTCTGTATGCCACAGAGCTTTATGTCACAGAGCTGGATTAGAATTATTCGTTTTTAAAGTAGTTATCAGATGATGTATGTAACAGAGCTGGAATAGAATTATTCGTTTTTTAAGTAATCAGATGATGTATGTAACAAAGCTGAAGTAGAATTATTCGTTTTTTAAGTAGTTATCAGATGATGTATGTAAGAGGCATGCAGTTGCATACCTCATATGATCGCCCACATATTTTGTTTTGACAACTTGGGAATGGCACTTTGCATGTTTTGATAACTTATGTTTTAAAACACATTGAAAAAATGAAGAGAAATTTAAAATAAACAAACCATCAACTGAAAAGAGAAATAAAATCTTAACAAAGATAAACTATTAAAGTTAAAAAAGTAAAACAACTATATTTTTTTAAATTTAGAAGTCTAACAATTAATAGTTCAAATCTAATCAATTTTTAAAAGCTTTCTCAATTAATTGTTTAAAGCTAACAATTTTGCTTATACATTAGTGTAGTCCTTATCACAATTTAATGTTTTTTTCAAGAGGCGCGACTATTAGTTTGGTATTGGATAAGGGTAAGAATCTACTTATATATATTTTATAAAGATAATTTTTTAAAAATGTTTTCTTTGCCTGGTAGACATTACAAAATATCAAAGTTTTAAATTTTTAAATTGTTAAGTTTGAAAATAATCAAAAAAAAACTTTGATTTTTTCTTAACTCAAAACAGTTTTAAATTAAAATAAAGACATAAACTTTATGCTTTTATTTTATTCTGGTTTATCCTTTATTGATTTTATCATTTGTTAGGATTTTTTAATTTTTTTAGTTTAATTTTCTAATTTTTTTTTTAGTTTATTTTTCTTTTCAGTTTTTTTTTAACTTTAGTTTAAGTTTACAATTGTTTTTTCAGCGCATTTTTTAAACATGTTAATTTTCAAAACTTGCAAAGAACCACGGCCTAGTTGTCAAAACAAAATATATGTGTGGTCATACAAGACATACGACTGCACTCCTCTTACAAATATAAAATAACTTTGAATAAAAAAACAAAAACTTATTAAAACTATAAAGATTCAGATTACTATCGAAGCATCATCAAACTACAACATCCGTCATTATCACCATCAAATTACATCATCATCATCATCATCATCATCATCATCATCATCATCATCATCATCATCATCATCATCATCATCATCATCATCATCATCATCATCATCATCATCATCATCAAACTACAGCATCAATAACATACAGCTTTCATCTCCAGAATTTTTTTTAAATGATGACAATATTGCTAATTATTACTGTTTACAAAACAGTTTATAAAATACTTTTATGTTACTTCAAATGAAATTTAAAATGAAACTTTAAAATCATATAAAAAGCACTAGATATTACATAGTTTATTAATTTTAAATGTTGTGTATTTCCACAATTTTATGTAAAGACTAAGAACATACCTCATCTAATTCATTATCTTGCTTTTTGGGGGCTTTTAATGGCTTTTTTTTTCCACCTAAAAATGAAAGCAACTAAAATGGATTGGCAAATATTATGTAAATATAACTAAAAAATGAAGGCAATTGAAATGAATTGCTAAATATTATATAAATAAAACCTAAAAACATTTTCTAGCTATAAACGAATTCTAAAATCTACATATCATCGCTAATAAAACATCATAATCTAAGCATCATTGTTAACATAACATCATCTGCACATCATTGATTATCTTTATATCATCATCACCACTCACCATAAGATCATCATTAATATGTCACTGCTAACACAATATCATTTTTTACATGCCAGTTAGTTGTTACCACCTGTTTACAAGAAAATGCTTTGAAAGTGTGAATATACAGATACGGTAAAGCAACTATGCAAAATTTTTTTACTTTTTTAACTTTGTCCAAATAAATAATTCAATATTTTAATAAAAAAGCACCCTTAAAACAAGTTTTACCTAAGTAATAATAATAAAGATTCATTAAACACTAATTCTCATAGATAATAAAAATAAAAGTAAACAATATATAATTGCAGGCCTTGCGATAAAGCGTCGGGCGATGTGAATTTTACGTCGTCCAAGAGCGATTTTGCGTGTAGCTAGGGCTATTTGCGTCGAGCAAAAAATTTTTTGTTTGAGTATATTTAAAGATATTTTTGAGCGGAATTTTAATGTAGTAATTTACGATTATTTTAACATTTAATAAAGTATTTTAAAAACCGCACGCAGTTGAAATAAAAGTTTGAATTAAAAAAAATTAAATATGCTCTTTATTTACAAGTAGAAAAAATTCAGATTAAAAAACAAGTTTAAATATTTTAAGCTAACATTTTAATAAAATTATTCAGCAATAGCAAAGTTGTCGATAAAATTGAACAAAAATACTTTCTTTTTGTTTTAAATTTTAAACTTAAATAATTATTTTACGGGGGTTTGTTAGGTTTTAAAATTATTCCATAGATTTAAAAATATTTATTAACTGTTAGACGTATTTAAAGTATTTAAGAGTAATTTCGAGGAAACATTTTAAAAATTGGTGAGCGCAAATAAATAAAAAAAAAAAGGATTAATATTAAAACGTATTCTACTTGATTCAATAAAAAAGTACTTTTATTAAAATTTTTGTAAAAAGTAACTCAAAAAAATTACTTAAATAATAACGATCGCTTTCGTGTTAAAAGTTAACGAAACTCAACGAAGCGTGCTTCAAGAACTGCTGCTGAAAAATAAAACGTCAATAGTTTTTCGAATAATTTTTAATAATATTTTTTAAGAATAATTTTTCGCTGAAATATTTTTTTTAAACCTATAAGATTTTTATTCTAACATTTTATTTTACTAGAAATAAAATTCCTTGTTAACATTAAAAATCTATTCAAAACGTTCGTTTAAGTTTTTTATTAATACGAGTGATTGTTCTTATCAACCGCTTTATGAAAATAAATATTATATAAAATCGCTTGTAAAAATATCAGTTTTTAATCGTACAATATTAAAATTTCCAGTTTATTACTCGCTGACTTTTTAAAAAGAAAAAATAATTATTTGAAAAACTTTAAATTACATATTTAAGAAAAAAAAAATCAAATATTAGCAAATTTTATAATCTTTTTTAAATTTAAGTTAAAATGTTTTTTATTCGTTTAGTATAGACAAAACGTGACAAACGTCGAGAAAATAAACAAATGTTTTTACATTTTAAAAAACGAAACATTCCAAAACATTTTTAAATAATAACATAAACGATTTAAAGTAGTTTTGTGGTAATTAAGTAAATTGGTGAAGTTAATGTTGATAAATATGAAAAGTAAATAAAAAGAATTTAATGACGTCAAAAATCACGTCGTGCTTATGCGTCGCGCAGCTCTTATTCATCGCAAGGCCTGTAATTGCCATCGGTAACAGTCACTATTGACATTACTTTTATATTATTAACAGTAATTATTTATAGTTTGCTATATAACTATAAATATATTTGCTTATAACTATTTTAAAATGTTGAGTTTACGAATAATAAATTTTTTTTTGAGGTTAGTTTGACCATCCTTTTCCACTCTTTAACTACTTTCTATATTTGAAAAAATGAATTAACGTGCAAATAATACCTATAGCATAAACTCATAATGTAAATAAATAAATTCAATTTTATACAGACTTTTCAAATTTAAAAAGTAATAATAATAATAATAATAAAATGGAATTAACTTATAATAATTAAGTATAATAAAAAACTGAAATTAATTATAATTCTGGAATTAAAAAGTGGAACTTAAAATGACGAAGCATAATAAAAAACTGAACAATTTCTATTTTTAAATTTCAATAATTCCATTTATAATTTGCACATAAGAACAAATTTATGAAGTATTAGCATTTTTTTGTTTGTTTATTATTTTATAAATAACTACTAATTTATTTTGTTTTAATTTTTTTAACACAGAAACCTGGTTTAAAAAAAGGTTTTGGAACCCTTTAAGAAAAAAAGGGTTTTAAAAATCTTTTCAGGTTCCGAGTTCTAGAATTCCTCAGTTTCAAGGTTCTGGGTTTAGAACCCCTTTGGGTTTCTAATCATTGAAATAAAGTTAGCAAACAAAGTGAGCAATTGTTTATATACGCATTAGTAGATTATTATGCATTATATACATACAAGTTGAGCGTGGTATTACCTTGCTCAATATTTTTCTCTGCAACAAAGCCATAGATTCGTTTGTGTTTTTGAGTTTAGAACTGAGAGTTGCAAAAAAAAAAAAAAAAAAAAAAAAAAAGAGCCTCCTCAACTGTAAAAAATAAACATTTTTTGCAACTTTAATTATTAGACAAAAACTAAAATAAGTTTTTGTAGAGAAAAAAAAAGTCAATTTTGGTAAAAAAAAGTGAAAAATTAAACAAGTTTGCAACTCATTAGGGAGATAATAAGAAAATAAAAAAGCAACATTCTTTAATACTACAATTAATGACACTTACTATGGGTTGCTTACTGCTAGTAAATTATGAATACAAATGTGTATTCTAGTAAAATTTTTAAAGCTAATATACATGCAATGTGGGTCAAAATCCAAAATAAGAATTTTTTTTTTGAATAACTTTCTATTGATTTTATTTTTTGCCTAACAAATGTTTAAAATATATGTTCTTAAATAATTTATTTAAGAACATATATATGTTCTTAAATAATTTATTTAAGAACATATATATGTTCTTAAATAATTTATTTAAGAACATATATATGTTCTTAAATAATTTATTTAAGAACATATATATGTTCTTAAATAATTTATTTAAGAACATATATATGTTCTTAAATAATTTATTTAAGAACATATATATGTTCTTAAATAATTTATTTAAGAACATATATATGTTCTTAAATAATTTATTTAAGAACATATATATGTTCTTAAATAATTTATTTAAGAACATATATATGTTCTTAAATAAATTATTTAAGAACATATATATGTTCTTAAATAAATTATTTAAGAACATATATATGTTCTTAAATAAATTATTTAAGAACATATATATGTTCTTAAATAAATTATTTAAGAACATATATATGTTCTTAAATAAATTATTTAAGAACATATATATGTTCTTAAATAAATTATTTAAGAACATATATATGTTCTTAAATAAATTATTTAAGAACATATATATGTTCTTAAATAAATTATTTAAGAACATATATATGTTCTTAAACATATATTTCAAACATTTAACAAGAAACTGGCAAAAAAACTTATTTAATTTTAAATTAAATAACTTTTTTTGTCAGTCTCATTTTTTTTGAAGTACACTACTCATGGTTGTTACCATGACTGTATCATAGCATTATTTAAAAATCATTTTAATTTTTTTTAAAAATCAAAACAAACAAACCTTGTCTTCCACTCATTCTATAGAAGTACTATTTAACTTACACTAAAGAAAAAAAAATCTTTTATACTTAAAAAATAATTAATAGCAATTGTATGAAACTTTCCTTTATTATAATAATATAAATTGGAATTATAAATAAAACAATAACAATTAATACAAAACTATTAAATGTTATTATTAAATATTACTGTATATAGTAACAAAGATTTTCATAACAAAAAAAAAGTCTAATACTTTATATTTCCACAAAAAAAAAAAAAAAGAAAAAAAAAAAATTGTGATATAAAATATATTGTAATATATTTTATGAACAATGCAAGTAATAAATGGCAGTATTGAGGTATTAATAGTTTTTGAATTTTTTTAAAAATTCAATAAAATTTAGATATTTTTTCACACTCCAATATTTTTCTCTAAATACTATCAAAAACTGTTGTCTTTCATGTTATTTTTTAACCCAATCGAGGTTTATGAAAAAACATCAAAAAAAAAAAGAAAAGTAAATGCTAATAAACGCTACAAAACACCTGTTTATAAATACTATGACTCTTTTCAACCATACAACATGATTTTGAAATAAGATATATATTTTACTAATTAATAAATGCTGCATAAATAATACGTTATATTTGAACTAATTTTATTATAGTTTTTAAAAAATTGCAGAAAGTGTATAATTTTATTTACTAATGTAGAAGTTTAATAGAGATAAAGAAATTCAGTTAAAAACATTTAATGCTCACCCAGTTAAAAAACATAAATCTACGTATAATAAATACAACATCTAAATTCATTAAATAAACCACAAATAAAGAGTTATTTGTTACTGTATTATATTGAAAATAATTGTTTAAGTAATAAATTTCTATACAAAATTTTCAAAATAATTTAAAGTGGCCAGCCACATTGTTCAATGACATTGTTAATCTAAACAATTTATCAATTAAAATCAAGTTAAACCAGAACGTTTGTTGTCGCGTTTTAAACCTCTAGCTAAAGTACGATCCTTTGAACATGCTTCATTGATTAATTGCTAAAAACAATAAGTTATTAAAAAAACAATAATAGAAAAATATTTTAAAACAAGCTTCAGATTATAAAAATTATTACTTTTTTAAATATTAAAAGTAAATTTTTTTTACCCTTTCATACTTCTCATTTTTACTCAGTTTTATTTGATTAGTAATTGGTAAACCAAGATCAAAAATTTCTCTCAAAAGACTATTATACTAAATTAAAATTAAGAATTACTTTTAAAAAAAAAACAACAACCTAGAATTACAAAAAAAAAACTAAAAAAAAAAAAAAATTAAAATGAACCTTAAGATGAATATTAATGCCACAACCCAAGGCATCTTTGAAAGCATTATAGCGCCGTACCCTAAATTTATTTTATAGATTTTTTAAAAGACAATCACAAAAATAATATATATATATATATAAAAAAAACACTTAATTTTCAAATAATAAACTAACCATATCCATGACGACATTTCAAGATACTCTCCCCCAAAATTGATGGTTTCTGTTGGGTTAACTCCTCTCTTCATATAAAAAATTTATATTTATAAAATCTTTAATCAGTTTTAAAAACTGATTTTAAAATTAAAAAAAATATATATTAATACCTCAATTGATTTTAAAAAATCACGGAAACTGGCTTTTTGCTGTTTTTTCTCTCTCTTTCCTTTATGGCGACCACTTTCATTTGCCAAGTCTCTTAATAATGAATAAAGAGTAGGTACTGGACCTTGAAACCTTATATTAGAGTCTCTTGCCAGTTCATAAATTAGAGCCAGCGTTTCACCTGCAGCTATTCGAAGATTTAAATCACCAAGCTCAAGAATTCTGCACATGACAGAAATACAACTAAAAATGAAGAAAAAACTTATAAATAAGAATATAGTTTAAAAAGATGTAGAAATATTAGTTTAATATTAGATTAGTTTATTAAACATAAGATAAAAACAAAAATTTAAAATAAAACTTAAAATAAATCATGATTGTATTTTCAACTGAAAATACAATCATGATTTAATTTAAGTGAAAATACAATCATGATTTAATTTAATCAAATAAACACATTTTAAAAAGTTACTTTTCAAGAAACTTTTTAAAATGTGTTTATTTGATTATTAGTAAAGTTTTACAAAATAGATAAGCCTATTGAAACAGCCTATGGAAACAAGTACTAAAAAAAAAAAAAATATCCACAGATTAACTAAAATTTTAAAAGAAATAACAAAAATAATAAACACAGTAATAAAAATATGTTGTCAAAACATAAAAAATGTTCACACCTAGATATATTTTCTTCAACAACTGAAGAAGGTACCACTGTAAGTAACAGACTCCACGATAACAAAGAATTTGCTATTGGAACATGATGGCTAGTATCAGCAGGTATTTTTTTCATAAAGCTTGTTTTTAAAGCATTAAGACAAACTACTGTATCCTAAAAAAGATAATTACATAAAATTTAAGACAATTTTATTTATAATCTAAATTTATTGCAACAAAAAATAAGGATTTAAAAAAGCTATTACATAGGTACAAATATACTTATTACCTCAGGTTCTTCACAACCTATAAAACATACTATTCCAAGAGCTGATGCTGCCTAAAAAATTTACATATATATAAAATTAGAAAAATCAATAAATAGATCAGAATAAATCAATAAATAAAATAATAATAAATCAATAAATAAAATTAAAAACAGAACTGTCAATACTAGGACTTTAAAATATTTTCTAAACTGTTTTGAAAAAAAAAGTTGTAAAGGGTTTATTCATAAAGTACACATGTTACTACAAGAGTAGTTTGGCTAAAAGTGTACAAGCCATGGCTAAATATAGTGGTCAGATACTGGCATCTTAGACCATTCTCAAGGGTCAAATATCTGACAAATGCAAGACTGTACTGTAAGGAGAGAGTGTGTTGCAAGTCAGTGAGTATATACTATTTTCATTTAAATGATTGAAATATTAAAACATGCAATTTGTTTGAATAATTTAAATATTAAATAATAGTTACATAAAATACACACATGGCTTCTAGAGACAATTGTTTATATGAGTTTATCAAGTTTATATCATAACTTTTTAATGCTTTGACTTTTTACAGATGCTTATTAATTTTGTATTAAATAATGCATATATATATATATATATATATATATATATATATATATATTAGAGAATTTTTCATTGAAAGCATTATCTGCATATAAATAGGTCCTAAAATAATTTTAATTCGATTTATTAATTATATGGGTTTATTTGCCCATATAAAATTACAGAGAGTTAGCACAGACATGAAAAAAATTTTTCTTTCAAAAAACCAAACAATGAATTATTGTAAATTAATATTAACTCAAATCATCCACCCCAAATTCTAAAACAAATCCCGATTTCCATTAATAACAGGCTAAACCAAAACTCTTCTAATGAAAATATATTCAATCCCTCTAAACGAATATTTGAAGATGCCCTTAAAAAAAGTGGTTTTGAAAATTTTGAACTAAAATTTGACCCTGAAAAAAAGAATATAAAAAAGCAAAACAGAACTAGAAATGTAATTTGGTTCAACCCCCCATATAGCAAAAATGTCTCCACTAACTTAGAAAAAGCGTTTTCAAAATTGGTCGATAAACCAGGCCTTGCGATGAATAAGAACTGCGCGACGCATAAGCACGACGCGATTTTTGACGTCATTAAATTCTTTTTATTTGCTTTTCATATTTATCGACATTAACTGCACCAATTTATTTAATTACCGCAAAACTACTTTAAATCGTTTATGTAGAAATGTTATTATTTAAAAATGTTTTGGAATGTTTCGTTTTTTAAAATGTAAAAACATTTGTTTATTTTCTCGACGTTTGTCACATTTTGTCTATACTAAACGAATAAAAAACATTATAACTTAAATTTAAAAAAGATTATAAAATATGCTAATATTTGATTTTTTTTTTCTTAAATATGTAATTTAAAGTTTTTCAAATAATTATTTTTTCTTTTTAAAAAGTCAGCGAGTAATAAACTGGAAATTTTAATATTGTACGATTAAAAAACTGTGCAATAGCTAATATTTTTACAAGCGATTTTATATAATATTTATTTATTTTTATTTATTTTCATAAAGCGGTTGATAAGCACAATCACTCGTATTAATAAAAAACTTAAACGAACGTTTTGAATAGATTTTTAATGTTAACAAGGAATTTTATTTCTATTAAAATAAAATAAAATGTTAGAATAAAAATCTTATAGGTATAAAAGAAATATTTCAGCGAAAAAATTATTCTTAAAAATTATTCGAAAAACTATTGACGTTCTATTTTTCAGCAGCTGTTCTTGAGCACGCTTCGATGAGTTTCGGTAACTTTTAACATAAAAGCGATCGTTATTATTTAAGTAATTTTTTTGAGTTACTTTTTACAAAAATTTTAATAACTGTACTTTTTTATTGAATCAAGTAGAATACGTTTTAATATTAATCTTTTTTTTTTTTATTTGCCCTCACCAATTTTTAAAATGTTTCCTCGAAATCACTCTTAAATACTTTAAATACGTCTAACAGTTAATAAATATTTTTAAATCTATGGAATAATTTTAAAACCTATCAAACCCCTGTAAAATAATTATTTAAGTTTAAAATCTAAAACTAAAAGAAAGTATTTTTGTTCAATTTTATCGACAACGTTGCTATTGCTGAATAATTTTATTAAAATGTTAGCTTAAAAGATTTAAACTTTTTTTTTAATTTTTGAATTTTTTCTACTTGTAAATAATGAGCATATTTAATTTTTTTAAATTCAAACTTTTATTTCAACTGCGTGCGGTTTTTAAAATACTTTATTAAATGTTAAAATAATCGTAAATTACTTCATTAAAATTCCGCTCAAAAATATCTTTAAATATACTCAAACAAAAAATTTTTTGCTCGACGCAAATAGCCCTAGCTACACGCAAAATCGCCCTTGGACGACGTAAAATTCACATCGCCCGACGCTTTATCGCAAGGCCTGATAAACCCTTAAATAAATTACATAAAATTTTTAATCGAAATACAATTAAAGTTAGCTACAGTTGCACAAAAAATATGGAAAGAATTATAAAAGGTCACAATAATGCTTTGTTAAACAAAAAAGAAATCCCAAATAAAAAAACTACAGAAAAAAAATTGTCCAATGAGTGGAAGCTGTACCAGATAAACAATATATTGACATAACAGAGAGTGAATGAAAACATTTTGCCAATCATAAGCAATCCTTTAAAAATAAAAAGTATTCAATAGACACCATGCTGTCAAATTATATATGGGAATTAAAAGATAAAAATGTTGATGATTTTATACTGAATTGATCAACCTGCATATAACAATATTTCCAAAAAATGCATAATTTACTTACAAGAAAAATTTGAAATAATTACACATGCAAACCCAGAATGTTTATTAGACAAAAAATCGGAATTGATTTCTAAATGCAGGTACAAAAATAAGTTTCCTTAAAAAACTATAAAAATAAGTGAGCTCAAATAATAGTTACATTAAATCCCCCTTTTAAAAAATATATTTTTTAAAAAAGCAGAAGTAATCAATTCTCAAGAATTCTTTTTATAATTGTCAGCATATTCCACAAATGTGTAAAAATTTACAGTAGATAAGACATGTGCGACTAACTGTAAAAAATATATATATATATATATTTTTTACAATTTTAGACCATATATATATATATATATATATATATGGTCTAAAATTAATTCTCAGTTAAGAAGAAAATGGGGTAATAACAATTTTATTATAAAAGATACAACTTTAGTGTGTGAGATATATATATATATATATATATATATATATATATATATATATATATATATATATATATATATATAACAAATAGGTTATATCTAACATAGAGGTTATGACATTTGCGACTTATTGTAATTTAATTTTTGATATAAATTGAAGTTTTATTTCATTCATTTCTGATGAGTCTTAATTGATGAAACAGTGTTAAATGAAAAAAAATTTTGTTAAGTGATTTTCTACTACTTTATATATATATATATATATATATATATATATATATATATATATATATATATATATATATATATATATATATATATATATATATATATATATATATATATATATATATATATATATATATATATAAATGAAAAATAAAAAAATCTTTAATGTATTTGGCCAAATGAACTTTTGAGGTCATAAAAAGCATTTTATTTGCTTTTCATATTTATGGATAAATTTTTGAATATTTTTTAATAGACGTATTCTGCATTCCTATGATGTAATGTTTAAAATGATGTAATGTTCTCGGGCAATGATATTAGAATTATGATATTATATTATATTAGAATTTAGTTGTTTTTAGTATTTCTTTTAACATGTGTAATTTTGCCTGTTTTATATTGAAAAAAGTTGAAAAACTTAATTTTAGAGGCAGCGGAGTGTGTTCCACAATGCAAAAATGCGTTTTACGATTCTCGAGAAACTAAGTCAGGCAATATATTATTTAGAATTTCTAAGAACACAGCTCGTCATAAAAAGTGGTCTAAAATTAATTCTCAGTTAAGAAGAAAATGGGGTAATAACAATTTTATTATAAAGGATACAACTTTAGTGTGTGAGTTTAATTTTTAAAATTAAAATATTTAATTATCAACAAATATTGGCAGAAAAACTCTAAAAAAGGAATTATTTTTATCTATTTTTTAATTTAAAAAGCAAATTGATGTAAAAGACCTAATAGAAAGAAAAAACTTCTTGAAAATTTTGAAAACCTTTCTTAAAATGAAGACATTAAATAATAAAGTACAATTAATTGAAGTTGAGGTTGACAGCAGTCTAAAAGATAGTTGTTGTGTTGACCTACAACATAAAATTAGAAAATGAAAAAGAAATGTTGATATCTAAAATGCACTTTTTAGAATCTCAAAATAAAATGATAAAAAATCAATTAAACCAGTTTAAAAGAAAATATATATTCATAATTGCGAAAATATGTCAGCAGACAAAAAAATTGTTTTAAAAGTATACTGGCTTATCTGAAACAAAATCAAAATAAATTACATGAATATTATTTCTTGACTATTAACTTCATTATCTAATATTTGAGTTAGACATTTAATATTTGAGTTATCATTATTTAATATTAAGTGAACATCCGTATTAAAATTTGATTAAGTTATCTAACATTGAGTTTTTTGTAAAAATCATTAAACTTCGTAATCAATTAAAAAAAAAAGTGATAGTCAAAAGGTATTCATTTGATAGAAATTCTCTTAAATATATGTACACAACTAAGTGACAAAACTGAGCATTACTTAACTCAATTACCATTTGTATTTGTGTATAATAACCAGTGGGATGATCTTTTTTTAAACATGGTTTATTATATTTTAATTCAATACAAAAGTCATTGTCACACAAATATTCTGAGAATATTACGATTTAATTTATCTTTTAAAACTTCAATATATTTTTTTTGAGCATGTGGTTCACATTTCTTTTGAGCATGTGGTTCAAGTTTGCTCATGGTCTAAAGATTCGTGTAAAATTTTTGGCAAACCAACAGTTTTTGGGGGTTAATTAACTGCTGAACAAGTTTCAACTTTTTGGGATTAAAAAAACTGCTGAACGAGTTTCAAATTTTCTTTCGCAGATATAAATTTCATGAGAAGTACTTGAAGTTAAAGGATGCTTTCTTAGATTAAACCAAAGTGCATTTTCAATTTGCGTTATTGTGTCAGCTTCATAATTTCTACCTTGTTAAGAAGATACTATTATTGACAACGAAAAATCTTTATATTTCTTAAGTTCCCAGTTGTGTGGTACATAGCGATGATTTTGATTATTCAAAGATTTTTAGTGATCGAAGTCACAAGGTAAAAGAAGAAGTATTTTTGGAAATATTGAATGAAATTGATGAAAGTTTTTTAATATTAGTACTTTTTAATATTAGTAACTTTAATAATTAGTTTAGTAACTTTATTTAAAATTAGTAACTTTAATAATTAGTACTTTTTAATATTAGTAACTAAGAAAGTTTTTTAATATTAGTAACTTCAAAGGTTTCATTTACCTGAAGTTGATAATATAAAGAAGAACTAGTTGGAAAATTTCTGAATGATGTTTCAATAAAGCTGGAAGTGTCAGATACACAATGAACAATACCATTATTTTTATTTAAAAAAACAGCATTTGATTTCAAAGTGCAAATATTTTTCTGCTTTATATTTATTCGCTATGTATCATATAAGGTAGTCTTAATGCAACACTTTAATTCAAATTTGTGAACATTTGTAAACATTATAGAATTTTTAACTGTTTTAACTTTATAATGTTTTAACTTAGAATGACTTAGAATGCTCCAATGTCTTGATCTACTTGTGTATGATTTTTCTCCAGGTACTCAAGTAAATTTAAAAAATAATCTGCAGGTTAGCTAAATCATAATTAAAATTTAGAAATAATTCTGAAAATTATTGAAAATTAATTATTATTAAATACTAATAGAAAAATAACTTAAGAAATTCGAATTTATTAGTTGTATAAAACTTGAAATAAAATCTAATTTATGTTTTGTAAATATTTTTTTATAAGTTTGTTAATTTTGTTTTTGTGGTTTGTTTATTTCAGCCAAATTTTTTTTTGGATACAAATGAACACTTGCTTTAATTTCAATATTTTTGTTTTTAATTTCTTTTAATTTTTATAATTTTATAATAAATATATATTGTGATTTTTTGATTTAATTTAATAAAAAAAAATCTAAAATATATACACACATACTTTGATTGATTAAAAAGTAATGTAACAATTTCTAGAGTACTAGAAGCTTTGAGAAGTTTCCATAATTGCTGTAAGTATATATAGGGCACAAAATGACCTATCAGACAAAATAAAATTTCTACATTGCACACTCTTTGATATATTGCAAAAAATAGATAATATTCAAGTCCATGGATGACACTGCCTGAAAGGGTGATCACTCAAATTTGAAAATGAAATTCCATAGCTTTTCCATGACATTTCCTTGACTCTTCATAAACTTTTTTGATAAATTACTTGAGAGTAAAATATTCAGTACTTAACATGCATTAAGCATTTGCAACTTGGTCATAATAAAACATGCAAACCAAAATCTAATTGGTGGAAAGTTCTGAAATCTGAAAAAAACTCTTTTTCTTTTACTTCTCTGATAACTTACAAAAATATCTTTTTCAAAAAGGACTAGACATTCTAGTACTTTTCTTTGCATCCTAAAAATATCACAAGTAGAAAAAAATAAAGATCATTTTAAAAAGTTCCATGAATTTTCCATGACTTCTAATGAAACTAAGAATTCCATGACTTTTTCCATGACCAAATAAAATTCCATGACATTTCCATGATTTCCATGACCAGTGGCCACCCTGCCTGACTTATGAGTTTCAGAAAGACCACCCAACAGCTAAAGTCACACAGAATATGAATGATGAGATAGGACAGGGTTGGGTGTCTAAAGCAACAGCAATTATACTTAATTCTACTTTATTATTGCAACAACAATTTAATGTTACAAGATTAATTCGATCAAAATTGGATGCATTTATATTCTAACTTCGAGCATTCAAGCAAACTTAGATGCATTCATGGTAATATAGAATTAATGGTAAGATAAACACAACTTGAACAAAAAAAAAAAAAATATCCAAGCTTGGTGTTTGGATACTTCACAAGCTAAATGCTAGTCAGCTAGGTCAGAGAGCAGACAGCTGCATGAACTTTTTATCTTTACACAGCACATTTAACTTGTTTGACTGTCATTTCCAGAGTTGAAATGTGGATACTCTACATAAACCACACCGGGCAGTTCCATAGACAAAAACCTGAACAACTGCCAAAATCAACTTTGAAAGTATTCTTGCATGCTCGATAAACAGGAGACTTTATTAATTAATTTAATTAATGTGGGTGGGAAAGATTTCAATTATTGAAATCTTTCCCACCCACTATAAGCTTATTTAAAACTCTCCACCCCTCTACCCATAATTAACTTTAACTTGTTTCTGATTTTTTTGAGATATAATTTTTGCTATTAACAAAAAAATTTATATATTAAAACTAATAAAAAAATTATTTGTAAATCTTATTGAAATTATGATAAAAAAGTTATTAAAAAAATGTATAGAGTAAAATTACAAGGAGGTTTTGATTCTAGATCAATGACAAATTAAATTTAAGAAAAATTCTGATCTCACATCATAAAAGTGTTATTTCATTCACCATACTCACCAAATTTGTGCCAACAAATTATTTGTTCTAATAGCAAAATAAAAATGTATGATTCAACAACAAGGACACCCAACCTGCACCAACAGATAATTTATTCTAATCACAAAGTAACAGTAAAAGCTTTGACAACAAGAAGGCACTCTGACAATACAAAGAGTTCTACACCAACAGTGTTTGTTTTTAACATAAACATTAGCAGGTGGTCATAGACAATGATGGTGCATATATATTTATGAAGAAATATGTATGTTATATAAAATTATGGAATTGAAAATGACAATTTTATTCAAAAAACTATTAACTATTATAACATCATATTTTAGCCAAACAAAAACCAATATAATTGAAATTTTTTCTGGATATTTAAAAATGGGTAAATCTGTTGTCAAAATGGGTAAATCAATTAAGATATTTTATTCATTAGTTATTCGTTAATAAGGTGCAAATCAACAAATTACATTCTTTTAATGATTTTATATGTAATACAACAACTTTTTAACAGTTTTAAGATAAATATTTTGAAGCCCTGTCCTTATAAAAAAAAAATTAAAAAAAAAAATTTTATTTTTAAATACATAATTTTCAAAACTCCTACACTAGCTCTGACTAATGGAGAAGCACTTTCATCACCAAGGATATTAATGAATATTGATTTTAATGTTGTAAATATGTGAGATGCATCTGCAACACCTAACTGTATACATAAGATACTACTGATGTCTGATGATATTATGCAATCTTCTGGTTGACCTTTCTTTAACAGTTTTTCTACAAGATCTAGAAGTGAATCCTTTCTGAAACATAATTAAAAAGCAAAATTAAAATAATAATTTAACTTTATTTTAATAATTTACATGGAGAAGCAGCGTGGAAAATAAGAAATTGAAAGCGAGCGGTCAATTTGAAGGTAACTCGTGGAATTGACTGTCAACTGTTTTTTTTTGATAGTCAAAATTATATATTTTTTGCTTTGTTTAAATTTTTATCTTAGTAATGGTTCTTTATCACTGAGTTTTATATGTACAAAAAAACAACAAAAACAAATAATGCTTGAAAATTAACAAATTTACATTCCTTTTAAAATAATAATTTTTAATAAAATCAAGGCTTTTTTAAATAGAAACAAACACTCAAATTACTAGCTAATGTTATTAGTTTAAATAATTCTCGTGCACACAGATTTCCATTCAATTAAAAAAGTTTGATACCATCCAAGTAAATTAATTTTGAATTTTCTATTTTTAATATAAAACAATTTTAATAAAACATTTTGAAACTTTAAACTGAATACTCAATACTAAAAAGGAATTGTTTTGTGAAATGCTACTATAACAGTTACTTATGTAACAAAACAAATTTTACAATATATATTTTCAAATATATGGTTTGTCTGATTCCTTCTGATTCCTTTAATAATAATAAAAAAAGTGAAAACGCGCTATTGATAATTTTAAATTTATTTAATAATAATTTATTCAGTGCAATGATTTCACAAATGAAGGGAAAAGCTACAAGAAAATTTAATGTGTTATTTAATTTTGTTGTTATAAATTTAATTTTGAGTAAATTTGAATAATTATATGAAAAGATTAACAATTTCTTTCATATAATTTGCAATCTTCTAAGTTGCCTGTTAATTGTTTTCTTGCTCTATAAACTTTATCTTTTCTCTTCCAGTAACTCTAAAAAGCTGTTGAAAAAAAAAAAAAATTGTGAGAGAATTATTTTACAAGAGAATTTTTAGTAATTAAACTTTGAATGAATGAGTACTTCGGTCTAATTGAGTTGCGCAATTTGCTTTTAAGTCAAAACAGTTACGATCACTTAATTGATTTAATTGAGTTCATGTTTACAATATTTTTAAGTAAATAACTGTTTACAATAAACATGATAGATTCTTAACATGTTAGATTCTTAACATGTTAGATTCTTTACATGTTTATTGTTAACAATCATTTGAAGATTTATTTGAAAACAATAATATATTTACAATATAAATATGTACATCTATATAGATATATTTATTATATAAATATAATTCATTCTCAAAATCATTTTTTTTTCAGAACATAACTTATGATAAATTAGCCCATATAAGCAATTATTTAGTGATAAATTACAAAAAATATATATTATATATTTAACCACAATTATAAAACAAAAATTAATTAGCCGGAACAGTATTTTTAATGTTAATAGAGTTAATTTTAAAACTCTTGACAATTTTGGCATTAACAAGGTCAGACAGCAAGTTATTCTAAGTATTAACAACCTTGCGGAAAAAAGAATAATTGTGGACTTCGAACTAACATTTTTGTTTGCGTAATTTGGATTTGTGACCTCGAGTGTAAATATAGTTAACTATTAAAAAGAAAATTGATATATTTAGGCTAACTTAATTATTGCAAAATAATCAGCATTATTTTGTGAAAATGATTCAGCACTCAAGATTTCACAAGCTTTTATTCCAACTTTATAAAATGGACTTGGTGCCGTGTTCATGGACTCGGACCCGGTATTTTCTTCCTGGTACCCGGAATTGGGGACTTGGTATAAACTGGTTCTGGCATATCTCTAAAATATATATAATTTAAGAATCCTATTACAGAAAAAAAAAAGCACAAACGCTAGAGTTCTGGGAAAAAAAAAAAAAGCACAAAGCTAGAGGCTCCAGCATATCTCTAAAAAACATATTTCAAGAATCCAATTATATAAAAAAAAAGCACATTCATTTATTTTAATTTGTGGCAAAAATTTACGAGAAAATAAATACAAAGATTTAAAGAAAAGAAAAACAAAGTTAAATGCACAGTTGAAAAAAAAAGGTCCTAGTTAAATACAAAAATTATTATATATTATTATAACTATTATCAAAACGATGTATTAGATATTTTTATTAGAATAATAAGAACTTTAATCATTTATGAAAAAAGGATTTTTTCAACCAGTAAAATAATAGTAATCTAAATAAGTGAAGCGAAAAAAATAATAGGTATAGTTTACATCATATTATCAACGAAGCAAATTAAAGTAGCATATCGTAAACAATAAAACTATTTTGAACACATTTTCGAAACTTAAATGATTTTATGAAATTTTAGTAAAGCATTTTCCAAATTATACCCTGACTATTTGTCAAACCATGTTTTTCAAAACTATGATTTTTTTTTTAACCAGTCAACCATGCCTGGCAAGAATTCGTTTTAGGAGGTCAACATAGCAATTTTAGTCATTTTAGACGGTTGTTGACCAACTGTTATTTTCCACGCTGGAGAAGATTTTAGAAAAGATATGTGGTCAGATTGTAAAGAAAAAGATTTACTTAAATGAAAGGAAACAAACTTCCAATTGTAAGGAAAATATGAATTAAAATTGCAAGAAAAATGAAACATTCTCTACAACTTTAACATATAAACATTATTTTCTAATTCTAATGATTTCTAATTCTAATATATAAAAGTTCAATAGTGGGTGAATAGAATATTTATGGAAATCTATTCACTCATTGTTGAGCTTGTAAATTTTTTAAAAATAATGGCAGACATTAAAAATGCACAAAAAAAAAATAATAAAATAAATATGGGGGCTAATGAAAAAGAAAAATATTTTAGTTTGCATTATATTTATTCTATACCAAAAATACCATATCTGTTCAATATAATGTGATATATATTAGTGCTCTACATGTCTACGATATCCAAGCCTTCCTGGGAAGCGTGTGCGGTCGCACATCTTGTACATCTATGCCTAAAGTAATTTTTTTAGACAACTTGACCACATTTTTATTTAGTAAGCGTTTTAAGAATTTGTTGCACAATAAAGCTATAAGAAACTAGAAAAAAAAGAACAGAAGACTATACGAAATGGAAAATCTAAATAAACTAAAAAAAAATTTAAAATAGAAAATTATTGTTAAAAAAATAACAACTAAATATTTTGCTCTTTTTGTTTTTTTATTTTTATGGCGTTTGTTATATTCCACTACCAAAATTGATACAAGTCAAGGAAAAAGGTAGATAAAAATATAACAAAATTTTTTTTTAATATATATACAATTTTTTTGTGACTTTTCAGTCAGGATATTAAGAAAATACATCATAATTTGCGCTAGAAACACGGCTAAATTTTACTGTTTTTAACTCTTTGCTAAATTTTACTGTTTTTATTAATGCACAGGAAAGTGCACATGAATTGTGAATTATCAATGCACATGAATTATCAATGCACATGAATTAATAATGCACATGAATTATCAATGCACATGAATTAATAATGCACATGAATTGTTAAAATTTTTTTTATTAGTTAAAAAAAAATTTTAACAAATTTTTCATGTAAAAAAAATGAAATGATGCTCCAAAATCTTGTGGGCTAGTGCAGGCCTTGCGATGAATAAGAACTGCGCGACGCATAAGCACGACGTGATTTTTGACATCATTAAATTCTTTTTATTTGCTTTTCATATTTATCGACATTAACTGCACCAATTTATTTAATTACCGCAAAACTACTTTAAATCGTTTATGTAGAAATGTTATTATTTAAAAATGTTTTGAAATGTTTCGTTTTTTAAAATGTAAAAACATTTGTTTATTTTCTCGACGTTTGTCACGTTTTGTCTATACTAAACGAATAAAAAACATTATAACTTAAATTTAAAAAAAATTATAAAATATGCTAATATTTGATTTTTTTTTTCTTAAATATGTAATTTAAAGTTTTTCAAATAATTATTTTTTCTTTTTAAAAAGTCAGCGAGTAATAAACTGGAAGTTTTAATATTGTACGATTAAAAACTGTGCAATAGCTAATATTTTTACAAGCGATTTTATATAATATTTATTTATTTATTTTTATTTATTTTCATAAAGCGGTTGATAAGCACAATCACTCGTATTAATAAAAAACTTAAACGAACGTTTTGAATAGATTTTTAATGCTAACAAGGAATTTTATTTCTAGTAAAATAAAATAAAATGTTAGAATAAAAATCTTATAGGTATAAAAGAAATATTTCAGCGAAAAAATTATTCTTAAAAATTATTCTTAAAAATTATTCGAAAAACTATTGACGTTCTATTTTTCAGCAGCTGTTCTTGAGCACGCTTCGATGAGTTTCGGTAACTTTTAACATAAAAGCGATCGTTATTATTTAAGTAATTTTTTTGAGTTACTTTTTACAAAAATTTTAATAACTGTACTTTTTTATTGAATCAAGTAGAATACGTTTTAATATTAATCTTTTTTTTTTTTATTTGCCCTCACCAATTTTTAAAATGTTTCCTCGAAATCACTCTTAAATACTTTAAATACGTCTAACAGTTAATAAATATTTTTAAATCTATGGAATAATTTTAAAACCTATCAAACCCCTGTAAAATAATTATTTAAGTTTAAAATCTAAAACTAAAAGAAAGTATTTTTGTTCAATTTTATCGACAACGTTGCTATTGCTGAATAATTTTATTAAAATGTTAGCTTAAAAGATTTAAACTTTTTTTTTAATTTTTGAATTTTTTCTACTTGTAAATAATGAGCATATTTAATTTTTTTAAATTCAAACTTTTATTTCAACTGCGTGCGGTTTTTAAAATACTTTATTAAATGTTAAAATAATCGTAAATTACTTCATTAAAATTCCGCTCAAAAATATCTTTAAATATACTCAAACAAAAAATTTTTTGCTCGACGCAAATAGCCCTAGCTACACGCAAAATCGCCCTTGGACGACGTAAAATTCACATCGCCCGACGCTTTATCGCAAGGCCTGCTAGTCCATTGTTAATTTACGGAACTTTTTTAATGAAATTTTTAGGAACCTATTTAAAACTTTTTTTTAAGTTTTTAAATACATTTTTTTAAACAAAGCAATTGGTATGTTCATTATCTCTAGTGATTTGTTTTAACACAGGAAATTGGCAATATAAAAGAAACAATTTCAAACATGCATCAAATGTGGTAAATACATTTATAAAAGAAACTATGCTATTCTTTTATTAAACTTATTCTATCACTACAAAACTTATTATTCAAATAATACTTTTTACAAATAAATAACAACTTATTTTCTTATTTTCTTATAATATAAGTATTGAGAAAAAATGTCAAATATAGCAAAATATTTTTAAAAGCGAAATGACGTAAAAACAATGTAACATAAGAAAAAAATTAACCAAATTTCTAATAGTTCTAGTGTACATAGCAAATTAGTTTCTTAATTATATGGACTGATAAAAGTTGTAAATAAATTGCATAATTGCATGTTTTTTTCAAAAAAGATTCTAAAAAAAAGAATACAAAAGTTGTATAAAAATTTTATAAAATAATTTTTTTTTTTTTAAATTATTAAATTTTCTAGTTCATTTATCTTGATATTTTGTTACAATTTTGTTTTCTTTTTTTAGAATTGTTTTTTTTTTCTTAGTAGATAAGTTTAGCTTTTTGCTGTGAATTATTGAAACGCTTTATAAGTTAAAAGATGGGAATTGCTGCGATCAGTTTGTCTAAAAAAATTACTTTAACCATGGACAAACAAGGTGTGCGACTGCACGCACTTTCTAGGAAGGGTTGCATATCCATAATACTTTGACACAGTCATGATTGTCAAAAATAGTTTTATACTATTCCAATATTAACTAAAAAATTGCTTAAAGTTTTTTTCAATTATTCAAAAAATTTACTCAAACAAGTTAAAGAATATTATAATGCTCAAAGTAATTTAAATTTTTTTTTCAAATATTCAACTAAATTACTTAAGCAATTTTGAAAATATTGAAAAGCAAACACAAACTTACCTACTCAACAAAAAATCATATAAATATCTTTGACATAAACCATTCTTTATTTCCATAAGTGAAACTTGGCGAACTTTTGCACTATAGAGTAAAAAAAAGAGAAAGGGTTATTACTACTAAAACTGAGTATAAAAATTTGGGACCACAAAATACTTCAATAGAATCAGGAGTAAAAAAATGGTTGCCGTTTTTTTTTACTCCAATATATATATATATATATATATATATATATATATATATATATATATATATATATATATATATATATATATATCACAGGACTTAAATTAGGCGCATTGCGATTGCTTTTCACACCTTAGCGATTAGTTTTTTTTTCTGTTTTTTTTAAATCGCTTAAATATTTTTTCAATTTTCTTGATTTTTTTTTTGGGTTTGTTTACTTTTTTTTAAATTCAGCATTTTTATTTTTGGCAATTTCTTAAATGTAACGTTTTTGTTATAAAGTATATCATGCTAAATTTATTTTTCGAATAAAATGATCATTTGCTCTTTCGTGCGGAGATTTTCATTCAATATATTTCATTCACTTTTAAATTTAAATTACATTAAATATTTTAAAATGTTGTTGAAGCAAAATGTTGGAAAGGAAAATGACGTTAAAGAGATTTTTTTTTTCATTCTTTTTTTTAACAAAACAGCCTAGTTTTTATCTTCGTTTTTTAAACGTTGCAACGAATTCACTTATCATAAATAATTTAAGTTATTATTTTATCAACAATTTTATATAAATAGTTTTACTACTTTAAGTATATTATTATATATATTATTTTCTTATTATTAAATTTTTTTTCTATTAGTTATTTAATTCTAATAGAGACCAGCAACTTTTTTGTTTTAACATTTTTTGTTTAAACTTTCAACCTTTTAAAGTTACATTTTCTTTGATTTACTGAATGGATAAAGTACATCACAGTAAATTTACTTATAAATTAAATCAAAACAACATACAACTGTAAGCTACTACAGTAACTTACAGTTACTCAAATATTAACTTATAAATTATTTTAATTTACTTGATATATTTAAAGACTATTGATATACTCAAAGACTTTTGATAAACTCAAAGACTCTTGATATACTCAATGACTTTTATACTCATTTTTTGATATACTCAAAGATTTTTGATATACTCATAGACTTTTGATATACTCAAAGACTACTTGATATACTCAAAGATTTTTAATTTACTTGATATACTCAAGGTTAGCCATACAAATGTTTCTATTTATATCTTAAATGTTGTTAACACATAATATAAGCTTTTAACTAAAGCTTATTTTAACAAAATTTGTAAAATAGAATATGAAAAACGCGACACCATTTTTTTATATTTTCATTTTATTTAAAGCGATATCAAGATTAAACTACAAATACTATTTTTCTATAAATACCCAAGTTATTTTTATGGAATTTTATTTAAAAAAAAATTTATTTCAACAAAAGAATTTTAGTATTTTAAAATTCTCATATTCAAATTATTTTATGAATGAAATTTGAAGTTGAAAAAAACTGGGAAAATTTTACAAGAATTTGAAGAAACAAGGGAGAATGAGGAAGAAATTTTTTTTTTCCGTAAATCGTAAATTTCATAAACGTTTTATAGTTTATTATATTTTGAATAGTTAGACATGACGAGACCATACTAGACGACCAAACGGTACATACTAATGCACTACACCATTACACCTGTAGACATCAACGGTCTTCAAAATCAGTATATCAAATATTTGTTCTTTGTTACATATGATCTACATACAGAGTGATTAGAGTGTTAGTTTGTTCTCTCCCTGCCCTCCGAGCATTTACTTCGTTCTTTACCTTCACAAAAGTCTTATCACTCATTTTATATTTTCATATTATTTTTATTTTATATTCAATGACACCATCTTCGAACTGTTTTTATTATCACATCTCTCAGGTCTACGAAACTGGACGGCTCCGTTGGTCACTTTTTGCGATCATTGTGTCGCATAAACAAAAATTTATTCTTTGTGGCTGGTGAGCCCCGACTTTTTCCAATGTACGTCACAACGACAAAACGGACATTAGGCTATCCCGCTGGATGTGGTTACGGCGCTCAATAACCTAATGACTACGCTGACACTCACGCACACATTCAATCGGAAGCTCCACAATGCACGTCGGATCAGCGCTCGCTGACTATGTGCTCGGATCTGAAATCTCACTCCATGGCACATCATTCCACGGGACACGGCACGGGACAGTAGCTCTTTTGGCTAAGAGTGATGGCTTGTGGCCTACGGTGACTAATGTGTGCATTCGATCAATTGAAATCCATTCTGTAGGTCTCACGTCTGGCTCTGATGTGCTAGCCCATAAGCGCAAGGAGTGAGTGTGTTTAGCTTTCTATTCACCCGATTTGAAAGTGAACGAAGACATAACGAGACCATACTAGACGACCAAACGGCACATACTAATGCACTACACCATCACACCTGTAGACATGAACGGCCTCTAAAACCAGTATATCAAATATTTGTTCTTTATTATATACTTTTGTTCATAATCTTATTTTACCCTATCCTTGTATATTTATTCAGATTTGTGTTATGTGTGAATGAGGCCATATATTTGTGAGAAGTATAACAGCGCGAAAATTTTACACAAAAGTACGTATTAGCGTATTTTTTATAACAAATGTATTCTTGGTTGGAATATACTGAACAATTTCATTAGATAAGTTTAGACTAATCACGATTTCGTTAGGTTTTTTTGTTTCTATCTAATTTTCTTGATTTGACGTCGCTAAGTTAGTTTGTTGTGGTTTGCACTATACAGTCTTCACTAACGTTCCTTTGGTCGTTTTGTCAACAATATTGTTTTTTAACGTTACATTTTTTAGTGGTTATAAGCTATTAGTTTAAAATCGCATATATTGGCTTATCTTTTTATTTCCTCATTATTTTCTGCCTACTGATTTGATGTTCGTATATTTTTTTATCTCTGGCTAATCGTTATTTAATTACTCTGAGTCTGTATTGTGTGATAGCTATTGTCTCTACTTACCAGGCAAGATTTATATTAGAACATACTATTTAGAGTTATATATTTTTTTATCATACTTTCGTTTAACTACTTTCGTACTAACCACAAAACATCCTAACTTAGTATCAATGCTTATGAGTATGATAAACGTTTTATAGTTTATTATATTTTGAATAGTTAGTTGTAGTTTGTTTCTTAAAAATAGTTTTAAAAGTTGAAACATTTTATTGCAAACATTAAACTAGTGGTTGCAAAAATTAAAACTAAATTATAAAAAATTTAAATTAAAACTTAATAAACTATTTTACTTCTCTTCAAAAAAAATTTTTTCTAAAAAAATAATTTAAGCATATTCTTACTTAACTTAAAGAAATATAATTTGCTTTATAAAACCAAGTTTTTTTGTTTAACTTTTTATTGGAAAATCATTTGAATAAAAAACTTAATTATACTTAAATTTTTAATTTTACGCTAGATCGAGAAACAATTTATAAAAAACGTGGTATCTAAATTTTTTTTTGCATTGATCTTACTTGTTTGGTCTATAAATTATAGACTTGTATGGTCTAAAGGCATGTTTTTGCGCAAATATGAAGTTTTATGACAATAATGTTTTAATTTAAATAATTAGAACAATTTTATTTATTTGCCTCATTTTATTTTAAGCGCGTTTTATGTTATTAAGGTTATAAACTGATTAAAAGTATATTCTGGATATTTTACCCAAACAGTTTTACGGTTTTTTAAAATATGACCTTGATGATCTATTATACAGGACTCGAATTAATGCAAAAAAATCTAATCGTGAAAAATTCTTTATTTTTTTACCACAATTGGATTTATTCGTTAATTCGAGCCCTGTATCATAGATCATTAAAGTCACATTTTAATAATCCAGAAAATTGTTTGGGTAAAATATCCGGAATATACTTTCCCTTATATTCCTCCTTATTTTGTATTTCGCTGAGTTGTTTTAAATTATTTTTTTTAATTTTTGTATGAGTAATGAGTTAAAAAGCTTAAAAAATATATATATATTACAAAAATATGTACATAAGCTTGTATGTATGGAAAATATTTTGGATATCCAGAAAAACTAAAAGTCGAGAAAAATATCCGGAATTCCAGAAACATCTGGAAAAAGATAATCCATGATTATATATATATATACAGTGGTGGTACAAAGTCACGACCACACGCATACTTTGATCTCTCTAATAGTGTACTTAGGCAATAATAACTAATTTTTGAGCGATTTTTATTTGGAAATCTTACTAAATATCTAGTTACCGATGTGGCGCGCTATTAGCAACCAAATATCATTATTTTTGTTATTATAATTACTGTAATTTTCTATAATTACTGTTCTGTGTTGATTTGATCAGAAACTGTTGATATCAATTTGGTAAATTTAAGATTTTTCTAGCATTGTTTTAGTAGATATTTACTTAAAATTAATGTATTATCACTCAACTACATATCGTACCGAAATGTGGAGCTAATATTGAGAATAAATTAATTAGATTTAATTATAATTATAATTAGCAGTGCTAATTAGGATTAATTAGCTATAATTAACAGTTTTTTGGAATTTTTAAAGTTTTATTGTGTTTCTCAACATTTGTTGTTGTAAAATAATGATTGAAATCATGTTTTCTTTTATTAAACAAACATTTTATTATTTTTGTATTATGATTTTGCAGAACATTGTGTATGCCATGTATCAGAAGCTATCAACTGAGCAACAACTGAAGATCATTGTTATGATTAAACGAGGCATTTCTTACAGAGATATTACTGAGCAAATGAAAATTGGACTGTCAACTGTTACCAGAACAGCCAGAAAAGAGAAAGACACTGGTACAGTGGCAGACTTAGAGCATGTTGAATGACCTGTAAAAGTACCGCAAAGCGGGATCGGCTTTTTGTTTGGGCAAATTTGTCCAGTTGTTTCGCCATGGTTTCAGATCTTGCAAGCTACATGGGGAAAAACCATGAAGCTCATCTAGCAGCAAGGACAGTTAGAAAACCCCTGCAGCAAGCTGGTTTGAATAGGAGAATTGCTGCGAAGAAGCCTTTATTGCGACCTGATAACATCGCGAAAAGAAGAGCATTCGCGAAGATGCATAAAACCTGGACTGTCGCACAATGGAATAAAGTGTTATGGAGTGATGAAGGTACCTTTGCTGTTTTCTGTGGAGCTGAAAGAGCTTATGTGGGGAGAAGAGTTGGTGAATGATTTAGTCCTCTTTGTGTAGCTGTCACAGTAAAGCATAGAGGAGGCTCTCTTATAGTATGGGGTTGCATGTCAAGATCAGGTGTAGGTCATTTATAGCGTTGTACGGGCACAGTAAACCAGAATAAATATTTGGAAAATATTTATTCTGGTTTATTATTCACAAAGCTAAGAAAGTAATAGAATAACTCAAACGTGCTTGTATCGATGCTATTAAATAGCCTCCACAAAGTCCTGACCTGAACCCCATTGAAAGTTTGTGGGAGGAGCTCTTCAGAAAGGTACAGAAAACCAAACCCAGCAATCTGGATGATTTGCGGCAACATTTGCAAGCTGCATGGCTAGCAATCCGTGTTGACACCATCCAAAAGCTGGTACAGTCTATGCCAAGACGTGTATAGGCCGTGAACAAATACTATAATTAGCAATGAAAAGCTGTTGTAGCAACCTTTGCTACTTCCTTATTTGGGTATGATGCCAGTAAGCAGAGTAAAGCAAAGTCATTTCTTGGAGCTGTTGTAGATGATGGTGTTTGAAACCAATACTGAACATTAATTGGTTCTCTATTTATTAGATATCAAAGTTTGACTAAATTTTTTGAAATATTACCAAAATGGTACTAAAGGCATTTTAATTTTGAAAAAAATAAGGAAATGGAAGAGCTGAATTAAAGGCCACAAGAGTTTAGATGCCTTTATAAAACTGGTTATGCACAGGTGTGTTTCTTTATAAAACCAATATATAGAACCACACCTGTGCATAAACCTGAAAAATATAATCAGCAATTATTTAAAGCTTGGTAGATGGAGGAGTGTTTGCAACATACAAACAAAGGATTCAATATACTGTTGTCAGCCATCGAGAACAAACACAGGATGTTAGCCAGCCTGATGACACCACATATAACGCGGAATTCCAAATTGGTTTAAAATTTCCAAAGGTTCATAAGATCATAGTGAAAAAAAAAAAAAAATTAAATCAGTCTCAGATTCAAAGTGTCGCGCTAGACAAGTAAAAAACACAATTAGTATGCAGGATGAGAAAATGAATTAAATTGATCGATTTTTTTAAGTGTAAAAACGTGTCGTCATTAACAAGATCATTCATTCAAAAGTTGAAAAATTTTTTTTTTATAAAATAGTATTAAAATAGAACATGCACACTAACCATTGAACTAGATATCCAGAATGCAGTTCCAGTAATCTTACACCATTGTTCGCAGAAGTACTTACGTTAGCTCCAATCAGCGCCAATAACTAACATATTATCAAGTTTTGTTTTTGTCAAAAAATCTATACTAGCATTCTTGATATTTGTTGATAATGCACTTGATGGAGAAACATGACCAAGAAAAATGGAATGAGGTTCTTTTAGTATTGTGATATGATCCTCAGTGATAATATCTTTACAGTTAGTTGCTAATGCACAACAAGTTTTATATTTTTGCCCATCAAAAAAAAAAAGATTTTGGGCCTACTGAACACATAGCTAACTTTGCTTTGTGTGATAATGTAGTTCTAAGCAGTTTTCAGAGCTTTAGAGTTCAAGGCAACTTTCAGAGTTTTCTAGCTTTGCTAAAGGAAAAGAAATCATAACATTTTTGCCTCTTTATTCTTCTCTCAAATGCATTGATTAATATAAAAGTAGTTTATTTATCTAAAGAGTCAATAACTGTTTATTTTTTTGATTCACTAAAAATTCATGCTCAAGTACCTATGATTTTCTCAGACAATTACTTGAATTAAATTTTTTTTTTGGTATTTCTTCAGATACAATATAAAAATACTATACATAAATATTAAAACAAGAATTCAGGCCTTGTTTTAAAGCGTTACGCCTAGAGCGATTTACGTACGCCTTAAGCGATTTTTACGTACGGGTAGAGCTGTTTTGGTTAAGCTACTTTTTGTCACTTTTTAACTTTTAAATAAAAGAAGTAATTAATTTTTAAAAAAACTACATTAACTTTTAAATAATGATATGTAAAGATATTTATTAAAAAAAAGAAAGTAATTGTTGTAACTTTTCATCGCAATATATCTTTAAAGATATATCATGATAAAAAGTTACAACAATTATTTTTAAAGTAAATTCTTTTAAATATTTGTATAAAAAGGAAAATTTTCTTTTTATAGCAATTAATTTGACGCTAAACTTTTTATCCAAATATTTAGCAACATAAAAGATTGTTTGTCAATCCTTAATAATGGCATAACTTAAAGTTTACCTTTAAGTTATGGGGGGGGGGGGGGGGGGAAGTCGGCACAGAAAAAAAAAATTACCTGTTACTCGCAATTTTGGAATGAAAACAATTTGTTAAAGTTCTTCTGCATGCGATTTAATAAGTTTTTTTCATAAATCAAGTTATATTATAAGGTAAAGAAATCACGAGTAGGCTACAACATCGCTGATGACACTAATATTACGTTGAATATATTTATATAACGGAGGTTTCATTATGCACGCGCACATTACAGATTCCGTTAAATAAATACTAAGGCACGTTTTAGTTTAAGGACAGTCTCCATTTTTTACTAATGAATATGTATTTTTCTTTATAAAACAAAACAAACTAGTATATAAAAACCTTATATTTATATACTAGTTTGTATATTTCTATTCCTTCTAAATTGTTTAAAGTTGGAATATAGATTGTATTTCGAATATAGATTGTATTTTGAAGGACAAAAGATTTACTTTAAAAACCTTTAAATATTGGGACTTTGCTGATGCGATGATCACAGAAAAAGAGAAGACTTACGTTATTAAAATCAAAAGTAAGTTATGTGATCTTCATCAAAATAAAATATTATTAAAAAACAATGGTGCCGTAGGGGCAGCTTCCTAACGGTTTATAAATAACACAATTCATGTTAAAATATTTTAACATGTTACTATATTTTAATTAAGTTGATATATAATTTATAATATTAGAAGTATTCTAATAAAACTACTTCGAAGTAGTTTTAGTAGAAGTATTTGTTTTTTTGTTTAAAGAATAATTAACAAAAGAGTTTGCATAATTAAGACTTTTATATTTAATTTAATTTTTTTTTTTAAATTTCCTAAAAGTTAAAAAAAAAAAAGATTTAATCGTTAAAAACAACTTTTCTCTATAGCTCTGTTTCTTTGTGATTTGTTTAAAAAGTAAAATATTATTACAATAACATAAAAAACTTATGAATTAAATTCCTGGCGAATGCGTTCTAAACTATGTATCAAAAATATGCTCAATGCAGGCAAAACTTTTTTATATTTTTATAAAATGCAAGTTGAAACGCAAAGCAAGATAAATTTATAAAATATTTAAAAACCTAAATTTTTCTTTGCTAGTCAAAAAAATATTGTTGTTTAAATAATTAACATGGGTTTGTGTTTATCAATGTTAATATTTTTTGTTTACTCTAGAAGGTTTTAAAATTTAAAAAAATCATTATTATTTTTTATTCAATAACGATTAAAAACAATAACTATTCAAAAAAGGAATTTCAGAAATAATTAAAAAATATATATATATTTTATATATATACTAAATAATATTGAACTAAAATTAATAATAAAATAACAATTGCAAACATTACAAAATTTTCATAATAAATTTACATTTAAAACATTTATTTATTTAGTTATTTGAGTAAATTGTTAAATTGAACTAGTTTTTGGTTATTTATTGCGGTAGTTAAAACACTTTAACGTCTATAAAAGATAATTTTATGACCTCAAAATCGCGTTAAACTAATGCATTAAGCACTTTTTTATTTAAAACAAGGCCTAAGAATAACTTAAAATATAAAACAATATACAAAAAAATATAATACAAAATAATAAAAGATGGAAGTTTATAGGTTCAACAATTTTTAAAACAAAGTTTTGACAAAAGCATTTTAAAAACAATATAAAACCTTTTTTCCCGTGCTCCTTCTATGCTATCTAGAAATTTTTGCTCAAAATTCTCATTGTATTCTAATCCATCTATAAAAACCATTATTTAGTTAAATAAAAAAAATTAAACCAAAAATAAACAAAAAGAATTGAATGTACCTTCAATTGCATTAAATGTCAAATCAACTGAACTTGCAACACTTTCAATATCATCATCAGAATCATTTTCATCACTACCAGCATCATTTGCAGCTATTATAAATAAATACTTAATTATTTTAAATCTACAAATTATTTTTAATAACATTATTTCAACCAAGATTTTTAAAAACACTACACCGAATACAATATCTGAAAGTACTTAGTTGTATTTTTATTTATATAGAGTAAAACATGCAAAGTTGGACACCATAAAATTAATCATTTTTCTATATATTTTTTTAAATTTCTTATGTATTTTAAATCACAAATATATTTTTAAATACACTTTTTTAAGTTTTGTAGAGAATTTTTGCTCACTTAAATCAGATGGATTAGTTTGAAAAGTTTTTATTGTAAATTTTTTGACATCTATTTTAAAAAAATTTTCTATTTAAATAACAGTATTATAAGATAATAGTAAACAATAATAAATATTCACGATATATTATGATATTATAATAACTACGATACTATGATATATATTATAGTAAATAAAATAATTAAGTAAAGGTTTCTTTTCTCATAATAAAAAATAAAATAAAACTATTCAAAACTTTTTTATGTATTATTAGAATATTATAATATTAAATATTATACAGAGCACAAAATAAAAAATAGAAAGAAGACAGTCAATTTGACTGGCTAACACATAGAATTGACTGTCAACTGTTTTTATTGGCTGGTCAATTTAATTTGGTATTTTTATTTTTATTTCATAACACTTACTAAACTTTGTAAATTAAAAGTCATAATAATAAGCTAGAAAAATAAAAGTTTTAAGAGAGTTTTAAGAGGGAAATATACAGGGCTATACAGTAAACGAATAAGACTACTGAATGACAAGCCAAGCGAGAATGAGTTTTAGTTGATGGAACTAGAGATAATAACTCCTTTGAGCAACAACCATAATAGAATTTATAGAAAAAAGAAAGAGATGCAAGTTTATGACAATGGGAAAGTGGCTCAAGTTTAGCAGATAGAGCTGGTCCAACTATGTTTGTTATGCGTTTTGGACCTAGTCTAGAAGAGAAAGAGCATCATTAGAAGAACCTGCTTAAATATGACAACAGTATTACAGGGACAAACAAGGGATATGGAGATGTAGAGAATAGAATCAGGAGTAAAAAAATGACAAGCACAATTAAGAGAAGCAATCTTAGCAGATGCTATTTTAGCAATCGATTGTATATATCGTTTGCATGAAAAGTCAGTAGTAAGCGATAATCCAAGAAGACGTAAAGAAGCGGACTCCTGTTTTAAGCGACTAAAAAGTGATTTTTTTGATCGCTTAGAACAAGTTGTTTACTTTCTTTTTGCCTGACTCAACTTTTTACTCTTGTCAAGACATGAGTATAAAATTGAGTCATAAGCAAAAAAAGCTACTTTAGATGTAAGGTTGTCAGGAAGATCATTCATGTTTGTTTAAATAAATTTGCTTAAATACTTGTTACAACAAGACCACGGTTTTATAAAATGTCAGATATAACTTTCGTTTCCTTAAAAACTTGATAATAAAATTGTGTTAATGATAATTAATTAATAGTTTATTCAAATAGCTAAAAAACAAACAAACAACAATTCGAAGTAGAATGTTGATATAATAATAAAATAAGAATCTTTATTAAGAATAAAAAATACAACTATTGATTTTATTGTGAGTGAAACTAAAGATGTGTAAATATAGCTTGCATCACATATAACGTGTCAACAAAGTGAAAGTAGCTTATCATAAACAATAAAAATATTTTAGAGGCTTTCTCAGTTGACCAGCCTTGCACCCCTTCTTCATCTATTAGGCTGGCACAGATGTATTTTTAATACATTGTTTCCAGTACAGGATTTTAAATGCTGGATCTTCTTGACTCAATGCATGGGTTTTGCTTGTGTCTCTGTTTTAATGACTAGGCAACTCATTCTATTATCTCCTAATGAGGGTACCAGATAAAACTCAGTTTTATGGTTCTGAGGCCAGCTGGTAGTCAGGTTTCCCGGACTCTGTGGTAGCTCTCAGAGAGGCTGATTCCATCAACAGCTGAAAAATATCAAAGCATCAACATGTTGTGCATGGATGGTGTCCTTGTTTGTACTTTTGGTGTGCATTACCAAGGCCACATCGGAGCCCTTTGTTATGGCTTAAGGTTTTTTAATAGTAATGAGGCAATCGCTTGGGCTATTAAACAGTGTACTGAGTACTATCTATGCTTTGAGTCAAGTTCTTTAACAAATTTAAAAATGAATAAAATAACAAAAACTATAACACAAAAAACCAATGTCATCACCAAGTTCTCTAAACCTATCATTCACTAACATTCGTGGTCTATGAAATAACTTTTCTTCAGTTGAGTCTTATCTCTTGCAAAGTTCACCAGACCTACTTGCTCTTTGTGAGACTAATTTGAGTTCAGTTGTCTCATCTTGTGATCTTAGTGTTGATGGCTATCTTCCTTTAATTTGCAAAAATTCCATAAGTCACATGCTTGGCCTGGGCATTTACATTTGTAAGAATTCACCCATTTATTGAGAAACTAGGTTTAATCCACAGAATACTCTTTTATGTTCTTTCGTTTAGCACCACTTTGCTCTATCGCCTTTCTCTTTGTCCTATATCAATCTCCTTTATTTCAAGACTGCACTCTTCTTGATGTTATTTCTCATCATATTGACCAAACCTTTTCTCTTTATCCATCAGCCAATATTGTTGTTGTATGCGACTTTAATGTTCATCACACTGAATGGCTTGGCTCTAGTGTCAGTGACTCTGCAGACATTAAAGCCCACAACTTTTGCCTTTCTCAGTCCCTAACTCAAATAGTCAACTTTCCGACTCTATTTCCAGACAACCCAAATCATTTATTTTCTTTTCTCGACTTATATCTAGTTTCTGATCCTAGTCAGTGCTCAGTTTCTGCACATTCACCCTTAGGTGCCTTTGATCACAGTTTGATCTTTCAAAAACTATTATCTCATTTTTCTTTATCATCAGAATCCTCCTATCATCGTAGATCTTACAACTACCTTAAAGCTAACTGAGACTCTTTCCGTGATTTTCTTTGCAACCTTGGGTAGAAATCTTTTCAAAACCTGCTATTCTCAGGTCATGAAATCTCTTATTTTATCACAAAAATTAGACTCTTGTGACTTATGGAGAATCTTTAATAGTATCAATAATAAGGGCAAGTCTGTAGTTCCACCTCTTATGTATGGTTCAGACTTTGTCACCTCACCTAAAGACAAAGCTGAATTGTTTGCTAAGAACTTTTCTTCAATATCAACTCTTGATTCGATTAGTTGCGTTCTACCTGATGTAGCCGTCAAACAGGTTGATCCATTGCTTGACATTCGTATCACTACAGCTTCTGTATCCAAAGTGATTTTCTGCTTTTTTTTCAGCTTGTGGTCCGGACAACATACCTGTTGTAGTCTTGCAGAAGTGTTCTCTGAAGCTGTTGTCTATACTTTCAAAACTGTTCAACAAGAGCTTATCAGTAGCTTGTTTTCCAGCCTGTTGGAAAGCAGCATCTGTTATCCCCATTTTTAAAAATTGTGGAGAGCAATCTGATTCATCTAACTACCATCCCATTAGTCTTATTCCTATCATAAGCAAGGTTTTTGAATCTTTAATTAACAAACATCTTGAATCTAATAACTTACTTTCTGATCATCAATATGGATTTCGATCTTCTTGTTCTACTGCTCATTTGCTAATAGTAATAACCAAAAGGTTTTATCGTGCATTAGATAAAGGTAGAGAGGTTAAGGCCAATGCTCTTGACATTTCTAAAGCATTTGATAAAGTTTGGCATGCTGGTCTTCTCCATTAGCGTTCTTGATGAGTCATCTACCCTTCATTTTCTTAGATTAACTCTTACTTCTGATCTTTCTTGGAAACCATATATCAAATCCATTGCAAAATTAGCATCTGCTAAAATTGCATGTCTTTATCGAGCTCAACACTTTCTTACTCTGGGTTCTATCATGTATCTTTATAAATCTCAAATCCGTCCTTGTATGGAATACTGTTGCCATATCTGGGGCGGATCTTCAAATGATGCCCTTTCTCTTTTAGACAAGGTGCAAAAATGCATTGTAAACACAGTTGGACCTGCTCTTGCAACCAACTTTCAACCATTATTACATTGTTGCAATGTTGCTTCACTTTCTCTTTTCTACAAATACTATAATGGGCACTGCTCTAAAGAGCTAGCGTCTCTTGTGCCATCTACTAAAATTCATTCTCTTGCTACTCGTCATTCAATTAAGTCTCATCCTTTTTCTGTTACTGTTCCTAATAGCTCTAAAAACTCTTATTTCTCTAGTTTTTTCCCTCGAACATCAGTTATGATTCATATAACTTACAATCTTTTAAGTCGTCTGTCAATTGTTATCTTGCTCTATAATCTTCATCTTTTCTCTTCCAGTAACTTCCAACACTAATTCGTGGTTGCTTGCAGCCTTGTAGGAAGCAAAGATGTTTAAAAAATAATAATAATAAAAAATAAAAAATAATTTTTTTAACCAGTCAACCTTGAGCGGCAACAATTTAACATAGTTTTTCTATTTCTAGTAGGAATTGCTAGTACATGGCAAGCCTTCCAGGAAATGTGTTAGGCTTGGGCAGGAATAGCGTGCGATAGCGCTCTGTAACTGACCACGCTAATATTTTTTCTTTACTATTTGACCACGCTGTTTTAATGTTTTAACAATTTAAATGCAATAAAAAAATCATAACATTATGAACAATAATTAACTGTTTGTCTTCTCTAATGATTTTATTTTACGCAAAGGCTTTAAATAAAATAAAAAATTATAATGATTCTTTAAAATAAACGCATTTTGTGTTTTTAATTAAATGTGTAACTTTTTTTAGTAGGCATATATTTATTGTGATAAATGTAAACATTTAAAACTATTTTTTATTTATATTTATTAGGCGTTCTAAAATACATGCCTACCAAAAAAATTTACATATTTAATTTACACAAAATGGGTTTATTTTAAAGGATCATTATAATTAATTTTTTATTTTATTATATAAATTATATATATTTATATATATAAATTTATATATATAAATATATATAATTTATATATATAAATTTTTCAAAAAAAATGTTTATGCAATTTAAAAATATTATATTTTTTTCATTTCAATAATTTAATTTTACTTTTTAAATAACCAACAATTTAAATAAAATTTGTTCATTTATTTAACAATCATCAAAAGTAATTTGTAAAAGCGTTTTACATAACTTTAATAAAACGTTTCAAAGATAAGTTTTAAAGTAATTTATTTCAACTGCAATTAAAAACATAACAAAAAGTAAATTTTACCTCGAGTTTTTTGAGTTTCATTTTGAAGCCTATATATTTTGTTTTTAGTAAGGAATTGTTTTCTTTTTCAATTTATTTAATTTTTTTCATAGTTTTTAGACTTAAAAAAAAACTTTAAAATGCAAAGCTAAACTGTTTAGCTTAGTGTTTCTTTTTTTAGCGCATTTCTGAAATGTTCAAATCATAAAAACATCTAAACTGTTGTGGTCAAGTTATCAACAAAAAAAATCATTTGCGTGGTCAGCAATAGCCTTTGACCGCCATACATGTCCAAGCCTGCGCGTGCAGTTTTTCGTCTTGTATGACCACACATCATACAAAAACACACTAGAAGGCTTGAATGGTATAAGAAATCTGAATTTGATGAGATGCGTATCATTCAAAAACATAAAACAAAAAGATTTTTTATATACAAATAAGAAAAGATATGACAGCGGTATATGAAAGAAAAAAAGGAAAAAAGTTGGACAGTTGCAGGAATCGAACCGCAGACATACCGTGTATGAAGGTAATGCTTTATCCAAATAAGCTAAACGCAGGTATACTTCGCTACAAATAAATATTATTATATAAAACAAAAAGTTCTACATAAAAGCATATGCATGCATTACATACACAATTTCTTATAGGAGCTTGTATGGTAAAATTTAGTATACAATTTACCATATAGTATACAGTAAAGTATACTATATGGCAAATTGTTAACATTTTTTTTTAAATAAATATGTTTACGGTATACTAAAGTTTATAAAAAGTTTTAATGGTATAAAACATTAAAACTTTTTTACCAACTTTAAAAAATAAATATATTTTAGTAAAACACATTTATTTTATAACACTTTAGTAAAACAAATATGCTTGTTTTTAAATTAATGTTTTTGTTGATGTGTTTTATACTATTAACCATTGGTTACACATTCTCATTAGTTAAATAAAAAAGTTGATTCTTTGATCAAAATCAGCTTGATAATGGATTGTTCTTGCTACATTAAAAAAACCAATTAAAAATAAAAATACTTTATTCATAATAAGTCATACAATAATATAAATATGGTATAACAATTTAATTCATTCAGATAATATAATAATAATAATTTAATAAAAAAATTATTAAATTCTCAAATCAGTCACACAAAAAAAAAAAATTCATAAAAAAAAAATAAGAAGAAAATAGGTATACCTAACTATATATTACCATTTAATATACCAAGTATACAATAAAGTATACCGTAAAGTTAGTATACCCAATACTGTAACCTGCAATTCCTAATTTCTAGTCAGTTTTTCTAAAAACTTTTTGAATAAAATATATAAAAATACTTTCTGACGCTCGTTTCAAATTATAGACTCTAATTTTTTTCAATTCCTTTTAATTTTGCAAAAAAAAAAATTTCTTTTGTTGTATGTAAATTGCATTACCAAATTTTTGTTATTTAAAAAATACAAAAAATAATTTTTTTAAATTTTTTTTATTATTTTAAGAATTTTCATAACCAACTTACAAACCACTAGTTATATGTGCGCATCTACTATATTTAGCTTTATTATTTCTTTATTCAACTTTGGATAAAAATGGATAAAAAAATTTCTGTCATGTTCAGTATTATTTTTTGGAAAAGTTTTGTGTTAAAAAGATGTTGAATTCTTTTCTCCTTCTCGTTTTTGTAATTGTTTTTTTATTCTAAATATTGGATAATATAAACATTAGATATATTGATTGTGTACAAAAATTTATTGAGAAAATTAGGAATAATTTTTTAGAGGTCAGCATCAGGTCAGCAAAGAAAATTTGATACAAAGGTCTTACCATAAAACATAGAAACAAGGTTGGCAAGTTTTTTTTGCCGAACTCAAACACTTTTAGGTCGGCATTGCCAAATGCCGACCTTAATTATGAGGGTTGCTTGAATAAAAAGAAAATTAATTTGATACAACTCAGATTAAAACAACCTCTAACAACATGATCTAAACTCTGACTTTTCAATAACCAAGTTAGAAAAAAAAAGTGTACATAATAATTAAAAGTTATATGATAATAAAAAGGTATACAATAATTAAGATAAAAAATTCTTACATTTCTTTTTCGGATTTCTTCTTTTGCTTGTTTTTTTTTTTGACCGCGATGTTTGTACTTCCATTGAAGTATTATTCTACAAAGTTATGCATATATCAAAAGTTTGTTATTAGCTTAAAGTATTTAAATAATGCAACACCCTATTTAAGTCAGTCAGTTTATGTATTACTTATTGTATTTTATATGTATTCCTCCTCAATTACCATATATAATAATACTCACAATAATAATATTACATATAAATTGATGAAATTTAGAGTGCAAATGAATTTGGATTGTTTTTTTGCATGCGACCTAATAAGCCACTAGATCTTCGATCTAAGGCTTGTATAGAAGGAAAGCACAGTAAAATTCATCTTACTGGGATAGCTACAACAAATACAGCAGGTGATAAAATTTAAATGTTTGTAATAGGTAAATCAAAATCATCTCACTTCTTCAAAGGTGTTTAGCACTTACCTTGCAGATACAAAAATCAAAATATCCATAGCATACTGTTCGAAGAGTGGATACGAGAAATGAATACAAAGTTTATAAAAGAAAAAAAGAAAGTAGCTCTTAAAATAGATAACTGCCTAGCACACAGGATGATTTATAATCTAAAATCTATTTAGATCATTTTTTTTACCCCAAATACCACGTCTAAACTTCAACTAATGGATGAGGGAGTTATAGAAGTTTTAAAAGTTTATTACAGATCTTTGACATTGCAAAGACTGGCTGTAGCTATTAAAAGAAAAGATTATCCTGTTTTTTTATTTATTTCAGATGCAATGAAAATGCTTGATCTTGTATAGTAGAAAATGATCATGCAAATAATATTTTGTTTTGATAATTTAACCACGGTTTTTAACAAATACGCCGAAAATTAGTTTTTTAATTACATTGAAAATAAATTACTTTGACACGTTTATCTTTACTACTATTTTTATATTAGCAAAACGCTTTTAAATTATCATTGAAAGTTGTATAATTTTTTATTTATATTATTGAATTATATAAGATTTTTTTATAAGTAAAAGTAAAAAAAGTAAAATTTTTTTAAAAAAATTAAATTTTATAAGCGACAACTTTAAACAGCAAAGGTCCCTTTAATAAACTTTATATAAGAATCATTAAAGAAAAAAAAAGAAAATTTTTTTTGAAAGCCATTTGAATTAAATAACTTTGATCTTTACTTACGTTTTTATAATGCATTTAAATATATATCAATTTTTTAAATAAATGATTTAATTATTTTTGTGCGAAGAATTGTTAAGAATATCTTTTTAAACTTTTAAATGTGCGCGTTTATTAAACAATCGTCAGTTTTAAATTGTTACCTTATTTAAAAAATGTTTCGCATAATATTATATTATAAAAACATTAGTAAACATAAACGATTTAAAGTTATTTATTCCAAACGTAATTTAGATAATCTTATGGTTATAGTTTATTATTTATTTCAGTTAAGTTTTAATTTTATTTTAGCTATTTTAGTTTTAGTTAAGCTATTTTAATTTTGTTTTTGCTATTTTTTTTATGAAGATTTATTTGCTTTTTTAACGATAAGTTTTTTAATTTTATTTTATTTATAGTTAAGTTAAAATTTGATTTAATTTTTTTAGCCCATTTTTAAAACGTATACAATTTTTCAAAACATTTTAACAGCGGTGGTCAAGTCATGTAAAAACAAATAGTATTTGCATGGTCATATTATGACATGAAATCGCACACCTTCCTGGCCAAGCCTGTTCTACTACCATTAATTATTTTGCAAAATCAGGAATTTCAGAAAACCTTCAGAAACCTGAGTGTTTAGGTGAAGACAATAAACCCCTTTAATGACTTCAAAACCAGATAAAAACTTTATTTATTATAAATGAACATTTAATAGAAGTAAAAATGCAAATGAATATAATGCTGATGAGGAGAAAAATAAAGAATATTGATCTAGTTTGTCGAAAAGCTTGTAATATTTGGGAGACATTGCAAGTATCATATGACTGCTATTCAGTCTTAATGGTGAAGATTTTTAACAAAGCTCAATGCAGTCTCAATTATATTTGATAGAGATATTTCTTTAAAGACAGATTGACATTAATAATTTTTTTAATTTTTAATATACATGCCTTGTTTTAAAGCGTTACGCCTAGAGCAATTTACGTACGCCTTAAGCGATTTTTATGTACGCGTAAAGCTTTTTTGGTTAAGCTACTTTTTATCATTTTTAAACTTTTAAATTAGCTGTAACATTAAAGAAGTAATTAATTAAAAAAAAAAAACCACATTAACTTTTAAATAACGATAAGTAAAGATATTTATTAAAAAAAAAATTTAATTTAAAAATAGTTGTTGTAACTTTTCATTGCGATATATCTTTTCTTTTTATAGCAATTAATTTGACGCTAAACTTTTTATTCAAATATTTAGCAACATGAAAAATTGTTTGTAAATCCTTAACTACAAATTTTTTGCAATGTTTTTTATAAAAAGTAGTAATTTTTTAAAGTTTTCAGTAAAAAACTTTAAAAAAATCTATATTCCATATTTATTAATACAGAATATAAATGTTTTTTGTAATATAGATTTTTTAAGAATTTTTTACTGAATTTATAATTAAAAACATTTGCAAAAAAATTTGTAATTAAGGATTGACATTTTTTTTAATATCTCCAAAAATGTCTTAATATTTTTGTTATCATGATAACAAAAAATAAAGACATTTTTTCGAAATATTAAAAAAAATGTCTTTGCTTTTCTTATTAGTTAAAGGTATTTAGATACCTTTACCTTTAAGTTATGTGGGGGGAAGGGGTCGGCACAGAAAAAAAAAATTACCTGTTACTTGCAATATCTGAATGAAGACAATTTGTTAAATTTCTTCCGCGTGCGATTCAATAAGTTTTTTTTATAAATCAAGTTATATTATAAGGTAAAGAAATCATGAGTAGACTATAACATCCGCTGATGACACTAATATTACGTTGAATATATATATATATAACGGAGGTTTCATTATGCACGCGCACATTACAGATTCCGTTAAATAAATACTAAGGCACGTTTTAGTTTAATGACAGTCTCTATTTTTTACTAATAAATATGTATTTTTCTTTATAAAACAAGACAAACTAGTATATAAAAACCTTGTATATTTCTATTTTCTCTAAATTGTTTAAAGTTCGAATATGGATTGTATTTTGAGGGACAAAAGATTTACTTTAAAAACTTTTAAATATTGGGACTTTGCCGATGCTTTGCCAATTTGCCAAAGACTTAAGTTATTAAAATCAAATGTAAGTTATGTGATCTTCATCAAAATAAAATATTATCCAAAAACAATGGTGCTGTAAGGACAACTGTCCAACGGTTTATAAATAACACAAGTCATGTTAAAATGTTTTAAAATGTTACTATATTTTAATTAAATTGATATATAATTAAAAATAAAAATATAGTTCAATAAATAAATTAAATTTGTTTTAACAAAGATTACCTCATATTTATTCTTTTTTTTTTTTATTAAGTTAAATTGCTTACAAACGAAAAAGAAAAAGAGCTGTAATTATACGTAGAATGAAAACACTTTTGAGTTTGTTTAAAAAAATTAAGTTAAGGAACTTAATTTTTATTAAACAAATTTTTACAAACGTTTATTATAAACAGATACGATTCAAATGATTAAATATACTTAAATTAATTCAGTTAAGTATTTTTTTAAGTTTGCACGATTAAAGTTTAGCGTAGAAGTATTCGTTTTTTGTTTTAAGAATAATTAACAAAAGAGTTTGCATAATTAAGACTTTTATATTTAATTTAATTTTTTTTTTTTAATTTCCTAAAATTTAAAAAAAAAAAGATTTAATCGTTAAAAACGACTTTTCTCTATAGCTCTGTTTCTTTGTGATTTGTTTAAAAAGTAAAATATTTTTACAATAACATAAAAAACTTATGAATTAAATTCTTGGCGAACGCTCAAATATGCTCAAAGCAGACAAAACTTTTTTATATTTTTATAAAACGCAAGTTGAAACGCTAAGCAAGATAAATTTATAAAATATTTAAAAACCTAAATTTTTCTTTGCTAGTCAAAACAAAATCGTTGTTTAAATAATTAACATGGGTTAAACAAAAAAAATCATTATTATTTTTTATTCAATAACGATTAAAAACAATTATTCAAAAACAAATTTCAGAAATAATTAATTTTATATATATATATATATATATATATATATATATATATATATATATATATATATATATATATATATATATATATATATATATATATATATATATATATTACTAAATAATATTGAACTAAAATTAATAATAAAATAACAATTGAAAACATTAAAAATTTTCATAATAAATTTACATTTAAAATGTTTATAGTTATTTGAGTTAGTTGTTAAATTGAACTAGTTAGCGGTTATTTATTTATTGCAGTAATTAAAACACTTAACGTCTATAAAAAAAAAATAAAGATAATTTTATGACGTCAAAATCGCGTTAAGCTATTGCATTAAGCACTTTTTTATTTAAAGCAAGGCTTTATATAAAGAATATACAAGAATATACTGTTTTACCTTTGAAATCCAAACTTTTGATAACTTAAATTGTTTTATTTATTGTCAAAAGCTTGCTATAAAATGCCCTGACAATTCGAACATTCCCTAACTTGAGTTATTTTATTGGTACCTTGTAGGTGTGAGATATTGGCAGTTCACTGTATATAACTATATATATAAATATATATATATCAGGCTAGCCACATGGTCATTTTTAGGTTGCAATGCGTGATTTAAAAGTGTTTTTATTATTTTTGCTATTTAAATTAAAATATTAACAGAGAAAGGAATGCTTTAAATAAATATTAGATAAAATAATTAAAAGAAAAAACATTTAAAAAAAAGCAAAAAAACATTCCTAAAACACATTTTATGATAATGGAAATTAATGATAATATTTTAAAAATTTCAGTCAGTTAAATTTTGAAGAACTTTTTGTTGTTGTTGTTTTTGTTAAAGCAGACCTTCCAACTCTCCAGGTTTTACTGTGTTTACTTTAAGAATTTTTAAAAATGGTGACAAAGCAGAAATATAAGACCAAATTTAGCTTAACATTGTGCGCTGATTAACCTGTTAAAGCAATGATTTTGATAATAATGCTTTTGAAGAGGCTAAGGTATCTATTTCTATCTGAAAAGATTCTTGATAACATTTGAGATGAACCTTTGTTTCACTACAGAATTGACATTTCATGGTGCCATTTTCATAAATGATTATTTCAAATACTTTTGTCAAACATTTCAAATTGCAACCAAAATTAGCTGAAATTATCCTTATTATTTCTCACAGTAATGCTGAATTAGAAAGGTTGTTTATGATTGTAAAAAAAAAATAAAAAAAAAAGCTAACCACCCGAACAGCTGTTGAAAATCTCAAAGAAAGCAACAAAAATTTACAATTCTAAACATAATGAATAAATAAGAGTTATTTAATGATCAAGTATAACTTATCAGACTATTTTAATTGTTTTTGTATGAAAAAAAGTACTTTTTTTTATACTTTTAAAACCTGGATAGTTTAACGTTTATCCAGGTTTTTGTGTAAATATCAAGTTTCCAACCTTCCAACCAATGATGAAGTTATTAATGAACCTCAAGGTTTTTTTAAAAAAAAAAAAGGTTGGAAGGTCTGTAAAATACATAGTCAGCAAATACTTTATGATTGGCCAATATATAGTTATGTGCTTGTCAGTTGATTCATGGCAACAATTTTGTTATCAAAATATTCGACTATTTTATCATAGCATGCTTGGTGTATATGCTGTAAAATGTATTTTTTTTGTGTTATTTGTTAAAATTTCATATGAACATAGATATTTTTTATGTTCATGCCAAATTTTAGCAAAAAAGATTATGTAGCAGACATCTAATTTTTTGTAGCAGAATATGTACCTAATTTAAAATATTGTAAATAAAGCAGAATATTGTACAAATAACAACAAAGTACCATAACAAAACTATTGATACCCGAATCGGACATTTTTAAATTGGTTGCAATTTTATTTATCCAATTATTTTATTTAAATGCAGAGAGGTAGGTCTCGAGACCAAGACTTTGGTCTCGAGACATACATCGCCTCAAAGACTTTAACTGTCAAGACTAAGATACATCGCCTCAAAGACTCATTTAACTGTCAAGACTAAGATCAAGGCTTCAACTTGATCTTAGTCTTTAAAGCCTAGACTATTGGTTATGGTCTTGATCTCAGACCTCTACTGTTTTTTACTTTCTTGATTCTTATAAAAAATATCAACTCAATGAATGGATTATTTATTAATAACAAACGCAGATAGCCACAACTTCTCGCTCTCAATGAGAGTTTGTCGCGCTTGTTTGACAAGGTTCTAACTGAAATTTTTTATGTTAGGAGAATTTTAAAAAAATCTTTAATTTTTTTTTTATGTTTAATTAAAATTATTTATACTATTATAATTTTACTCATGTATTTTTCTTTTGATTGATGTATAAAGATGCATAAATAAATAAAATAAACTTTTAAAGTCTTGATCCCACTCTTGTAAAAACTTTTAAAGTCTTGGTCTTCAGTTTTGGTCTTGAGCCCAAATGTCTTGGTCTTGGCCTTTACTGTCTTGACTAGATCTCTGCTTAAATATCCATAACTTTTTGTACAAATGTTATTTTGTTATGAAATTTTGGTAATGTTGCAGACATAGTTTTTTGAGCTCTCATTCATAGATACTTAAAAAATTCTATTGAATGAATGAATAAAATGGAATGTTCTTTAAAACTTTAACATTCATAAAATTATAGTAAACAAATTTCAAAGTAGTTATTAAAATAATTTTTTGTTTAAAAAATTTATTATTTTGTTGATAATTTTTTATTAATATTTATTTAATTATTTTATTAATGATAATTTATTAAATACAATTATTTGAAATAAATATTTGTATTTATTTCAATAATATAAAATATAGTTTTGTTAAAACTATTGTTCAAATATGCGGCTATGAAAATAGCGGTTTATGTTATAGTTTAAGCAGGATATTGACATAAAATGCAAGAAATAAATGCTAAAAAAAAAACATTAAATGTGTTTATCTTACCTTTTTATAAGAGAAATGAAAAACGCTATAATTAATTAAATTAATGAACTAGTTAAATTTTTCCTACATTTTACTTTTATAGAAATTCCATCACAGATTTAAAAAGCAAAATAATAAAATGATTTAACATGTCTATTCTGAAACATTACCGAAATTTTCACTATTGTAATACTAATTTAAGCCTTTTTCCAATGATATATAATAATCAATAATAAAAATAGTTTGAAATTTTCACACACATACCTACAATATAATAATTCCTTGTATTAGTTTAAACATTCTGAACTAACTTTTAAAAGCATATTAAACAGACTTTAGGATTTTTTGCTATATGAAATGCCTTATTTTTAATGCCTTACAATTAACATGGTAGGTTCAGCTCAAATTTTTTCCATTCTTACACAAAGGAATTTACACATTTTTTTCAACAATATTTTTAAATTATTCTTAATTTTGATTGTTTTGTGCCAATTTTTGAATAGCATTTAAATCAGTCTTATTTGTATTAGGAGAAACTTTGTTGATCTTCAAAAAAATACATATTTTATAAAGCTTAATAAAATTCACATTACTTTATTTAAATATTTTCAACTTACTGGTTAAAAAATATGTTACTAAATCAAGTTTTCTTTAATCGAAAACTCCGCTTCTAACTTTCTCGAGGAAAATTTAATCATTAAAACTTTCTCCTCTCGTGGAGTAAAGATGTCACGGCAACCGAAATAGTATACAAGAAATAAACGTATATCTTTAAAAAATCTTTTACAAATAAGTAGAGCGCGTAACTTTTTTCCTAATAGATTTGTAAAATAAGTGTTTTTAAAATTTTCTTTGATACCAGTATAAGAACATACAAAAATAAAATCACAAAAAAATTAGAAAAAAATAAAAATCAAATTATAAGCGAGAACCTGTTCGATCCCCTCCTCGTCATAGTTGAAGGAGGGAGAGGGGATATAAGTCGATGTTAACGCGAGTTAACCTAATAAGCTATTTATTTTATTTTTTATTAGTTTTTTTTAATTTTTAGGATAAGTATTTTTTCAATCTTTCGATAGCAACTATATTTAACAATTTAGCTTATTCTTACTAAATTTATATATTACTTTTACTTAGTTCACACTTTGACTACAGTTGAAAGAGCCATGCAGCTCTGTAATTTTTGTTTAAAAATAATAAACTTTTACTCATTTTTTAGATACATACATACATTACATAGCGTAAATTTTTAATTCAACTGGTAAAAAATCTGTAAAACCAAAAACAGTTTTAAAACTGTACAAACTGTATTGAGTTGTGTAATGAAACTAATTCAACAGTTCAATTATTTTAATGTTATTTACTATTTTTGTTTTCTTCAAGATTAGAGAGAAGTCTGTCAGAGCTGCTAATTACTTATGAGTTGAAAGACAATGCTTGCGTACTTATAAGATTTTAGAATAAAGTTTGAGAATTAAAACAGAATAAAAAAGATATAAGGTTTTTTTATTTCATCGACTGCCATCTGCTTAGAAGTAATAAAAACTTTTCTGCATATATATTAAAAAAAAAAAAAACTGTTAATATAAAAAATTAATACAAACATTTTTAAACTTATATGTTTATAGTTGGTATTAAGTTGGTATAGTTGGTAATATAGTTGGTATAGTTGGTAAACTTAGGCAAAATTTTATTACAGTAGTTTGCAAAGTTAACAATAAGTTAATAATAGTCCATCCAATAATAAGTTAATGAAATTAATTTAAACAGTGAAAAAGTATTTAACTTTAACACATAAGCGGACTTATTGAAAAAATCTTTTTCCAAACTCAAAAATAAAATACAGAAATATCTAAACATATCTTAAATAAAAAATTTATGTTAAAAATATAGCTTGATCATATATAACAACACTTTTCTTACTTTCTTAGTAGCAAAGTCATTAAAAACCAAAATCCAAATGTTTTACATTTGGATTTTGAAAAGATTAGCAATAACTTCAACAAGCTTCATAATCTTTAAAAAATAAACTTGTTCATTTTAAAAAAAATAAACTTGTTCATCTTTTAAAGCTAAAATAACGTTAAGTAAACTAATAGCAATTGGATGGCACAAATGTCAACACCGGAAAATCCAATGGTGTTGTCAGATTGATAGAGAAAAAAAGTAGGAAGACCATTACAGTGGTTAGTATGTTAAATTCACAGCAACGAATTGCCACTTATTTCAATACCTTGATGGTCCGACAATCGGTCCTCCTGGATTTTCTGGACCTTTAAGTACAACATTATCAACACGTAAACAACTGGTTACTTTTTATTTCTATTACATATACAAATTTTGACTACTTTTTTTCACCTAATATTTCAATGCACCAAGAGGCGGTTCTACGAATAAAATGGTTGTGTATCCTGGGGGTGTATCCATCCTGTAAATGGGGGTGTATCCTGGTTTCTTAAAAAAATAAAAAAGGGTCCTCAAAACAAAACTTTACCCGACTGAATTGTGTCAAATACCCAACTAGCCGACTAAATATGTAAAAAAACATATAACTTGAAAGTAACCTTCTTTAGGGGAGGGGAGGGTGAAACACCCCCGTAAAATTGCCTCTGAATGCACTGTAGTGTATATTGCAGTTATTTCCTTTTTGATAAACATGAAAAAACTTGCCATGAATTCAAAGGCGATAAAATTTCATACGCTAAGTTGTCGGTTGGTTCCTTTCTGTTGAATGTCGTCCATTTATGGCAAAATAGATTTCATCTCACCAACGTTACGTTATACGATGTTGTTTTAAATATCTTACCTAAGTATAACCTAGATTTAAAAATACACCCGCAAGTAAATTTAAAAGCTAGAGCTATAACATGATCTCAAAAACTACGCATCACTTGTCAAACATCTAATTGATAAAACTTAGGACGTAATAATGTTAACATAATGTGCAACAAAAGATTACTGGAAAGCAGTTAAGAAAGATACACTTTTCCAATTTTGAATCAAAAAACAGAAAAAAAAAATTTTTTTGCTGCTTTTTTCTTAGATGCTTATAAATTTTTTAATCTGACATCCCATAAGTGTTGCTATTTAATCAATTTATCGGACTTACGATTATAATTAGCCATTTTCTTCTACAGTCTTACTGTTCCCTTTAAAACTTAAATAATGTGTCACCTTGCCTAGTAGAGATAAGTTAAGTGGCTTTGCAAAAAACAAAGTGAAAGTAACAAAATGGATAAAAAAGAGTTTTGCGATATATATATATATATATATATATATATATATATATATATATATAATACGTTGAAACAAATATATACACTAATCTATTAATTTAACTTTACACACAGATACCTACAAACATAAATATATATATATATATATATATACATATATATATATATATATATATATATATATATATATATATATATATATATATATATATATATATATATATATATGTGTATATATATATATATATATATATATATATATATATATATATATATATATATATATATATATATAATACGTTGAAACAAATATATACACTAATCTATTAATTTAACTTTACACACAGATACCTACAAACATAAATATATATATATACATATATATATATATATATATATATATATATATATATATATATATATATATATATATATATATATATGTATATATATATATATATATATATATATATATATATATATATACATATATATATATATATATATATATATATATATATATATATATATACATATATATGTTAATTTTAAAAATAACACGATGTTTTTTATTCCTGACATGACATGATTGACATGTTTTGTAAAATTTATTTACATTTTCAAAAGATTATTTTACAATAAAAAAACTTTGAAATAAATATTAAAAAATAGAAGCCTTTACAGAGAAATATTAACGAACAAAAATTATACATAATATACCAATATATTTATTACAAAATAACTCGATAAATAACCAATCAAAATAACCAACTGTTAAAAAAAAAAAAAAAAAACTGACAGTAAATTTGACATTAAATAGATAAGTTTATAGCTTAGTGTAAAGTTTGTTTATTAAGTGAGAGACTTTCCCATTTAACGTGGGCTAATAGCTAACGTGGGCTTCTTTTATCTTTAATTTGTGTTTGGTTGGGGCGTTATCCAAAATCTCAAAAAATCACAGTTAGCCAGATTTTTGCAATTAATGGATAAATTTATGTGTTTATATATATGAGATTGTTTATCACTTTTAAAATGCTCATTTATTCTAGTTGCCAATTGTCTGGAGGTTTCTCCAATACAATTGGCATTATTGCTAGCGCAAGAAAATTTATAGACAACATGAGATTTTAGCAGTTTAGGAAGTGAATCTTTTAAGCAAAAGCAATCTTGTATTTTATTAGTAGTGAAAATTAATTTTATTAGAACATCCTTTCAATATTTATGAAACAACTTTTGAAATTTTTATTTTAGTATAAATAGAGTACATTCCAATGTATGGAAGCTTAAAGTATCTTATATTTAAGCAATTAACAATGTTAGAAACAGATGGGCTCATTTTCTTATCAATATAGGATTTGATTTCAGAGTCAATAATTTTTTGTGAAAATTTATTATTTTGTAAAACTAATGATAGATTCTTAATATCTTTATTAAAACTAACCCAAGTACTATTAATTTTAAATGTACGATCAATCAAACAACAGACAAGCCCAAATTTGTAGCAAGAGGTAATCAAACTCAGCATTCGACAGAGCATGCTATCGTAGACCTCGTCAATAGAATTAGTGAATCAATCTATGAAAAGAAGTTCGTATTAGGAGTTTTTGTAGACTTGTCAAAAGCGTTCGACACAATAGATCATGAAATCCTACTAAAAAAGTTGGAAAAATACGGATTAAAAAACCATACACTGCAGTGGTTTAAAAGTTACCTGTATAACAGACAACAGTGTGTTATTACAGATGATAATTACCACAGTAAATTATTAAAATTAACTTGCGGTGTTCCTCAAGGTTCGATTCTTGCTCCTCTTTTGTTCCTAATTTATATAAACGACCTTCCAAAAGTTTCTAGCAAACTTGATTTTATAATTTTTGCAGACGATACAAATTTATTTTACTCTTCGACAAACATCAAGGATCTGTACGATAATGTAAACATAAAACTCCAAAAATTAAATATATATGGTTTAAAACAAATAAGTTATCCCTAAACATAGAGAAAACAAAATACACTTTATTTCATTCAAAACAACAAAGAAACACACTACCAAATACTCTACCCTCTCTAAAAATAGAAAATATAATAATTGAGAGAACTCACGAAACTAAATTTTTAAGAGTTATAATTGATGAAAATTTATCTTGGAAAGTTCACATAAATGCTTTAAACGCTAAAACATCAAAAAACATAGGTCTACTTTATAAAGCAAAACCTATGCTGTCGCAAACTAATTTAAAACTTATATATTTCTCTTTTATATATAGCTACCTCATATATGCGAATATAGCTTGGGCGAGTACGCATATAACCAAATTGAAAACTTTATATCGACATCAAAAACATGCTGTAAGACTAATCTACCATAAAGACAAATTTACACACGCTGAACCCTTGTTTAAAGAAATGAATGTACTTAATATTTATCAAATTAATATTTACCAAAATATATTGTTTATGCTAAAATTTAAATTAGGTCAAGTACCAAACCATTTTTTAAATAACTTTTTTATAAATAACGTTAATAAACATAACACAAGAGAAAAAGGAAACTTTATTACACCTTTCAAAAAAACAAAACTTTCCCAGTTCTCAATTTCATATCGGGGTCCTTATTTATACAACAAACTAGTAACTAAAAATAAATCAATTTGCAATCTAGATAATCAAAATTCTTTGAAAAAAAAGTTAAAAAATCTAATACTGAATCTAAAGAGATACTCAGAATTCTTCTAAGACTATAAACTAAAATACATATATATCAACTATAAAGTGAACTGACTCGTTTATGTGTATTATCTAAATGACTCTTACCTTTCTCAAACAATATATCAAAAATTGTTTATTACACACAAAAAAAACACTTGATATTTTCTTATCAATTTTAGTTATTATGCTGCTTGTTATGTCTAATATTTTATACTGAGCTTATTTTGAGTTTATTTTTTATCATGAGCTTAATTTAAAGAATATAAAAATATAGTTGAACTTAGTATATAATTTTATTTAACATAATCATAATATATATCAAACACATTGTAAGGGCTTCGTGATAAGGTCATTTCAATCTTCTTGAATTCCGGTCTGTACTATTTAATTATAAATTTAACTACATATTTTGACTCACGAGACTTGTAAATATTACAACTTTTAATTTACGAAACTTGTAAATGTTATATGTACGGTAAATATATGAATAAAAAAAAAAAAAAAAATTATTTGTAAAAAAACCTGCATACGATTTTTGTGATAAACTGAAGTCGTAAACGAATTGGATTTTTTAATAAGTACATCTAAAAAGGCAGTCTGGTTATCAGAATTAAAATTAGCAATTAAGTCATCCACATACCGCTTATAAAAAAATGGTGCTGTAAAGGAGCAAGAATTGCAAGAATTTACGCGTTACTTAAAATGCACAAAGTTTTTTAAGTTTTAAAGAGAGAAGATAATATGGAAAAGTATTATTTCAAATAGTCCAGGTGCCTCCCGTCATCTTCTTTTTTGTTTTGCAAAAGAGACTGCTGATTTTATTCAGGAAAAATTTGAACATTTAAAAAATGAAATATTTTTATTGAACAATATTGATTTTAAACTAGGTGAAAGTACTTTTGTAGTAAAGTTTAGTTTGTCAACTATTTATACCACAATGAATGATGGCAAAACACTAAACGTTGTTGTATCCAATATGCTTAAGAAACGAATTTCATCTCCTACCATGTTTGTCTTGCAAATTCTAAGGAGTTTAATTTAAAAACTATTTGGGAAAAAAAAAAAGTTTAAGCAAGCAAGTTTTAAAACTTTGAATTTGCAGCCTTCATTTATGGATGCGCTGCATGGAGTGGGTTTTCAATACTATTTGTAAACTCCCAAGGAAGTAATATTCCATCACAAAAAAGTAAAGAATTTAATGAAAACAAAAAAAAAATCCAACATTTATTCAAGATACAATTGAAAATAAGGATTTCTTTTGCCATGAAATGAGGTGGCACAACCAATACTGGAAATGTTGCTCGCAAATTTTTAAATAATCCGATTGTGACAGGGAGAACTTTAAACTTGGATATCAGAATGATTAAGTTGTTTCGAGGTTTGCTCATTGATATGAATAGCTCAACGACAAGACCAGATATAAAGATTTTTAAACAGAAATCTGAGCATCTATTTGCGCTAATAACTAATGATACATTTTTAAAAACTATACCTATGACACAATCTGTGCATAGAATGATAGTTCATGGTACTTCTTTTATAAGGTATTTTAAGTATCCGATAGATTCTTTTTCTGAGAGTGCTATTGAAGCCAGTAATAAGGAAAACAAAACTGCAAGAATTGGTCATGCTCGTCTAACTTCTTTTGCAGAAAACACTAGGGATACAGCTAATTATTTGTTTATGACATCTGATATGTATCTCTATTGCAAAGGAAAAAAAAAAAAAAATAAAAAAGAATAAAAAATGAGTGACAGCAAAATTGTTTAAGAAAGCAAAAAGGCAGTTGTTCTGATAATTGTTTACAATAAAGGTAAAATAACTTTATTAATGATATTGGTAACAGTTTTGATTAATTTATATTTATTTATTTTCTGGTTAGTTAGGCAATCTTTTAATTTTTTTATAATAACAATCCAAAGTTATGTTTTTTTTTTTTGTTTTTTAAAAAAAGTTTAAGAAATTTTAGCAAGTGATTAACTATTCTAGTAAGTATAAAAAAAGGACTATGAACTAAATGAAGAACCGTACTGATGTGCTGTTCTGCATTGAATTAAAAAAACGGCTGTTTTTATAGCCACAAATAATTAAAAACATCTATTAGAATAGAACGTTGAGGAACATTTAAATAACCAAACAGCAAAGAATCAGGTCATAGCAGATTTGTTTATTATATTCCACGACATTTATTATTAATCGTGTTTCTGATATAGTTCGCAAAATTCTATAAAATATTAGCGCTTACGGTTTTTTGAAAAAAATTATCCGGACTAATGTAGTTTTCCAGATTAGTCTAAAATTAGCCCGGATGAACCGAAAAAAAATTTTTTTTGATTGTAAAAACCGATATATTTTTCTTTTAAATATAGAAATAGAAACAAAAACTTGATGTCTTGTGAAAAAACCAGTTCCACTAGTCCCACTCTAGCTAACGCTGATCTATTCACTTAACGACGTTAGAATTATCTTGTTCTATCTCCACATTTTTTAGTTTTGAGATAAAACGATTTAAAAAACAAAAACTTCAGGAGACGGCGTATAATTTTTTTTATAACTTTGTCCGCAACTTTTTTAGTTATAACTTAGATTTCAATTCAGTAGAAAGACATTACTTTGAGGAATACAATACTATCATTAACTCAATTTTTTCAGAAAGTTGTGATAGAACAAGATAATTCTAACATCGCATGATGTTTATAGTAAAAATTTGCAATAAAGATCAGTGCGATATTAATACATGATTTTCTTATATAATTTGTATCTACACTGTGTAGACCTTAATTTATGATTAACCTTTTAGTTGATCCTTTTAGTCAACCACAGTTTTTGTTTGATTTGTGATACAGCATTCATCGATAAAAGTATATTAAAACGAACAATTTTATTATTATTTTCTCTTAAACACCCAGTAATAAAATTACAGGTAAATTAATTTATATTAAAACAGTTACAAATTAAATTAAAGCCAGTCTTGGCTCTCCAAATATTTGTCTTTAATGCCAATAACTAGACCGACTAGACGGTTTAATGCCAATAACTAGACCGACTAGACGGTTTAATGCCAATAACTAGACCGACTAGACGGTTTAATGCCAATAACTAGACCGACTAGACGGTTTAATGCCAATAACTAGACCGACTAGACGGTTTAATGCCAATAACTAGACCGACTAGACGGTTTAATGCCAATAACTAGACCGACTAGACGGTTTAATGCCAATAACTAGACCGACTAGACGGTTTAATGCCAATAACTAGACCGACTAGACGGTTTAATGCCAATAACTAGACCGACTAGACGGTTTAGAAATATTCTCCTCTATCATTGTTTTAAATTTTTCTTGTTGTTCTTTTAAGTTTCATTATTGGAACGCTTCTTTTAATATTGATATAGTATCAGCTTACAGTTCTTCTTGAAGTAGTGTGAATTTAATTTTTTTTACTTTCTACCATGCATTAAAAGATGTTCAAACCACGAGTTTTACATATAGCAATCACTTCGTTTATAAATGATTTTTTATTTTGTGTTGCCAGTAATTGACTAATTATCAGCAAATAGCAAGTTTGATTTTTCATTAGCCTAATTAATAGGTTTACTTTATTTCGAAGAAGAGTAGTTGAAATATTTTCTATTTTAAAAGAAGAACGTAGGTAATTTTTGCTATACTTTGAAATACAAAAAAATGATTTTAAAACTGCTCTTCCAACAGTTCTGTTTCTTAGACAAAATGTCATAGTTGCATAGCTCAAGGCCATATATAAGCTTTAGCACTGTCAAGGTATTGTATAAATGGACTATTGTTGACGGCTGACAAAAATGAATTTCACTGTCAATTAGAGCTATTGCAACCGATTGAAACTGCGTTATACGTTCATTTAGATTTGTTTTTTGAAGTGTTGCGATTTTGTTTTTGTTGGTACCATTATCCAATTGGAAACCCAGATGTTTTAATTTATTTTGGAGATCTATATAAGTTCTGTTAATTTAAGATATTCTATTTTATAATATCTAATAAAACATAAATGATAAAGATATGATTTTATATTAATTACGTTATCATTTCTCATGAAATGAAAAAAATATGTTAATGATTACTATTGCTAGATTTTCTTTAAAAAACACCCTGGATAATTCGATATAACCTTTTAATTTAAATTTTAAATAGTTTTTCCGTATAACATCTTTATTAACAAATAAAAAAATATTGTTTTAGACGAGTCGATAATTGTTTTATGATAATCAGAAAGTGCTATGTAGCAAGAAAAACTAAAAAAAATTCGTTTGGAATAAGCCCCCAGTCTAAATAAAATTTAAGATTCTATAGAAATTTTAAAATACTTAAGTTTTAACACATAGAAAGAATTTTACAACTTCTAAGATCTATTCATTTGAAATCATATTTGAAGAACGTATAAAAAATGACAACATACTATATCAGGAAATTTACCTTTGAGAGTTCGTTAGCTGAGAACAAAGAGGCTATATGTCCACATTTTGTGTATTTTCTGTTTATTATTAATAAATATTTTTCAACCAGTAAAGCATAAAGAGTCAAATAAATCTGGTATTAAAAAAACTTTAGGAAATATATAAATACTCAGAAGTTTCTGATACTAAGTCTTTACATACTAAGATCTAAAACTCAATTTTCTTTGAAACACAAAAAATGGACATACGGCCTCCTGGTTTTTGGCTGACAAGTTGTTTACGTAACGCATGAAAATGTAAAATACTAAGAACATAATTAAAATTTAACTACATTTTTTTTATCCAACGTAATAGATTTATAATAAAAAAATTTGATTTTACAAACAATCAAAACCTTCCTTTCACAAATAGAAGCCAATGAGAATGACAGAATATTTTTATAATACATAATATACCGAAATATGAACTTTAAAAAATTGAATAAAACTAGAGAAAAAAAAAACCAATAAAAACAAAGCAAACGAAAAATTAAAAAAAAATTGGGTAAGATACTAATACAATCGTATATAGTATTATGTAAGGATTTTTATCTTCTGAAAAAATTTGAAAAAAGTGCTAAAAAGAGCTGGCACTGAACCATATAATACAATTGAAAAGCTATCGAGATCACAATATACTCTCTGTCAGAGCACTTTATTTGAAAATAATACAAGGAATGGAGTGCTTTCACCAGTTGCATCTTGGTTACCAAAGCGCCCGCCTATAATAATCGATCTTATTGCTTGCAAATGGAATTTTTGCATACTTTCCAAACAAAATTTTTCCTAACCAAATATATTAAGTTTTCAAACTTTCGGTTAAAATTTCCTCAGACGGTCCGTTTAAAACAGCTGGTAAACAACTTTCAACTGCAATTTCAACTTTAGTGTTTTCACAAATAGGCTCAGAGCTGAAATAAAAGTAAAATAAATAAAAAATTTTTTATTATAAACGACGTAAACATGCAAAAAAGTTATGAAGCAACTTTAAAACACAAGTTAACAACACTTATTACTATGACAACACTTATGAAAAAACAACAATAAAAAAACAAAGAAAAAGAAATCTGTGACTTAATATAATACTGCTACTAAACTTTTTATATCATATTGATCTTTTTAGTTATTAAAAATTACTTTATTGTTAACCAAAAAAAAAGTAGCAAAAATGTCGAAATTCATTGTAATCTTAAACAGGGTTTTGCTAAGTTGTAAGTGAATGTTTGCAAAGTTATAATTGCACGCTTGCAAAGTTATAAAGGTATATATATTTTTTTGGAAACTATATTTTTTAGTTTTAAAAAATAAAATATATTATGCAAAATATTAAATTAAATTACACCATAGTAATCAAAAAGTTAAAAAAAAAAAAAAAAAGTGATTAATTTGTGAAAACTCTTTACATTTATACTTAATTTAGCATATTGTTATATATCAATAACCTTTCTAGATTAAGTTTTAAAATAATATACATTATTTAATCATAAATTTTTAAAAAGGCATGCACAAATATACATAAAACATAAAAAATAAACTAATCATTTCAAGTATTTTAATTCGATAAATTTTTCTCTCCTTATTGCTTTTTCCAAGCAGCTTCTCATATTTATATAAAAGGCATTGCACTGTTGACTATAATTTTTATCAGGTGATAAAATATATTCTAGAGTTTCTTCAATAGTCATATCGGGATTAGCATTTCTTGTGGATTTAAAATTGGATTTTAGCACATGAGGCTAACATTCTGTCCTTTATTTGCAGGAACTGTCAAGTATGCTTTTGTATCTTTTGGAGAATAGCCATATGAGCGCACTGTATGTTTATTGAATCCGGTTTCTTCTAAAAAAAACACAAATTTGAATCAGCAATTCTAGTAACTTCTGCCGCAAAAATTGATCTTTGATTTATTCTTTCCATGGTGTTTCTTTCTTGAGAAATGATTGTTAATCTTTTTCGTGTCAAATTTAATTTCTTCAACTTACGGGAAACAAACGAGATCGAAGTATTTTTATCATGTTATTCTAAAATTTACGTTTGAATTTCTTTTTGAACTAAGGTATTGTTACAGACCACGAAATTAAATATTGTCTGTTCGATGTTTTTATTTATAGATTTTTTAATTTTATACATTTCGTTTATTTTTACTGTAGATGACGTGAAGTGTTCATTATCACTATTTTTTATAGGCCGTTGCTACTTGAAGCGCAATGCGCTCTAACCAGCCATATGCTGCTCGGAGCGCATTACTTTGTACGCATGCGCGTACATTTCAAGCAAAGAGCGCATTCAATTCAAGCGAAGGAATAGGGAAAAGAAATTCAGGGTATATTTTACTTACATAAATGCTTGCAATCTTAACTATAACATACCTATATTGTAAATATATTTTATCAATGAACAAATACTTTACAATGTTCTTGTTAAAAACAGGGTGGCCACTGGTCATAGATTCATGGAAATGTCATTGATTTTTATTTGGTCATGGAATTCCTAAACTTCCATTAAAATGTATGGAAAATTTATGGAACTTTTTAAAATTATCTTTATTTTTTTCTACTTGTGATATTTTTAGGATATTTGCAAAGAAAAGTACTAGTATGTCTAGTCTAAGTCTTTTTTAAAAAGATAATTTTGCAATGTTAGCTATAGATTATTACTTTATTGTAAACAGGTCATGTCAACCTTTTTAAATTTTAGTATTTATTAAAATATCATTTTAAAAAATAAAAGCACACTTTTAAATTTTGTTTGAGTTTGTATCAATCAATCAAATATGGTCAGGTCAGGTCACCTGCTAGTACAACCTGTTTCATAGGATCAACTCATATTCTAGTACAAACCTTTAATCTAGTACAACCTGTTTCATAGGATCAACTCATATTCTAGTATAGTTTCAGTTTAAGTAACATGGGAATTGGAGCAGTAATAAGTTATGAGTTAAGCAAGAAACATCTTAGAAAGGCAGAAGAAACTCTGAAAGAAAATGTACTGGTTTAAGTGAGTTGTTTAAAGTTAAGTTTACCGATAGTGAAATTGACCAAGTGGCAAATGTTATGTTGCATGGCAAGTACTGAATATTTTTAAAAAATGTTTATAAAAAGTGATTTTTAAAAAATGTTTATAAAAAGTGATTTTTAAAAAATGTTTATAAAAAGTCGTGGAAAAGTAATGAAAAAAGTCATGGAAAAATCATGGAGTTTCATTTTCAAATTTGAAAATGATCAAAGTGTCTACCCTGTAAAACTATAATATATTCTTTATATACTTTTATATATATATATATGTGTGTGTGTGTGTGTGTGTGTGTGTGTGTGTGTGTGTGTGTGTGTGTGTGTGTGTGTGTGTGTGTGTGTGTAAAACATATTCAAGACTTTGTGTACACTTATAAATATGCATTATTATCTGTTTTAAAAATACAAAAAAACTGTTATATTAGTTACTTTTCATAAATATATAACTTTTCTTTTAGATCAAAAACATATAAAATTAAAAAGTTCAAGAGCATTTGAGCATTTGAACAAACTTTTTTAGTTGTTGTCATTTTAGATCAGCAAAAAATAACTGTCCAGCTAAAATTTATGCTGCTTTAACAAAAGATAGAACAAAAATAATTATCAAACAAATGATAGAAACGCACAATCATGTTATTGGTAAAAATATTTATCTAATATTGGTAAAATATTTAAAATTTGAAATGAATGTTATTTTATCATTTTTTATATATTTAGTTTTGTAAATCTGTTATTAAAGTTCAGCTTTTCAGGGTGTACTGTTTAATTTACAAAAAACTTTAATTTAAAGTTTTTTAAAATCACTTAAATAGAATGAATAAATAAAATGTTGTGCAATAAAAGACTGCTGTGAAAGAAAAGTATGCTGTGAAAAGCTTTTTTTAAAAAACCTTAAAGTTACATATTTAAATGAATTATGAAAAAGTAATTTTTAGTATCATACAACCTGATTAAATAAATTATTTTGCTTTACAGATCAAGATCTTTACAAACACTATGTCAAAAATAGAAAGCTATCAAATGAAGAGAAGGCCAAAGTTAAAGAACTGAGTCGTCTTGGTGTTACTACTAAAGTAATTGCTGATGAAATGAGAAAGAGTACAGGAAAATCCATAGTAAATAAGGACATTTGGAACATTAAGGATAAAATTCGTCAAAAAGTAAAAACTATTATTTCATTGCATAAATTGTTATTTTCATAAGTAAATAAATGTATGTTTATATATATATATATATATATATATATATATATATATATATATATATATATATATATATATATATATATATATATATATATATATATATGTAAAATTCTTTTTCAATAAAGTAAATATCTTTCATCGTAGGAAAAAATATGCCCATCTTCAAGAAATGTTTTAAATGTTGCAGAACTGCTAGTGAAAGTAGTTGAGAAAAGAAAAGAGAGAGTGATCTTGGACTGGTATCACAATATGGTATGTCAGATGATAATACTCTTCAGTATTTATTTGTTCAAACTAGTGTAATGAGATCCACATTTAGTAAGTTTCCTGAGCACATTTGTATTGATACCACCTACTGTCTCAACAACAGTGATATGCCACTGGTATCATTTTTATGCATGGATGGGAATGGATTTTCCCACGTAATTGCTTTTGCTTTAATTGCTAATGAGTCAGAAGTGATGTATAGTCAAATTTTTAAAACCTTTAAAGCTTATAATGCTTCTTGGAATTCCATTAAAACATTTATGATAGACAAAGATATGAGTGAGTTAACAACACTGGAGCAAAATTTTCCTAATAGTTTTTGTGAAATTTGTTTGTTTCATGTTAAAAAAGCTTTCAAGAAAAAGGTTGCAGACTTATCATGTACCACTGATGTTAAAAGAAAAATTTCTGTATATCTAGATACACTTTGTCATTCAAGAGATCAGTCAATATATGAAAAACAGAAACAGTTGATTTTGTCTCTTGATGAGTGCTTTGCAGAATACTTTTTAAATAATTGGGATCATATGCGTGATCGTTGGGTTTTTTATAAACGAGCAACACATTTAAACTTTGGCGACACTACTAATAATAGAATCGAATCTTATCATCAGAAATTGAAAAGTGTAATAACTCACCCAATAGATTTACATCAGTGTTTAAAAAAATATTTTTTTTAAATGACATGTTTTTAGAGGAGTGCAAATTTAAGCAATTTAAAAGTTTAACGAAAAAATACTTTTCCGAGTTATCCTACCTTCACAACATAATTACACCATATGCTATAAAACATGTATCGCTTGAGCTTGTAAAAAGTACTCATTATGATTTAATTTTGCCATCTAACAATACTCACAATGTGATTGTCGGTGACAACACATATATAGTGAGTGAAAAGTTGTGTAATTGTAAATTTTTTATGAATATGTGTTTGCCCTGTCGTCATCTTATTGCAGTTTCCCAATATTTGGGTAATGCAAAGTTAAGTTTAGATTGGTTTATTCCAAGATGGCATGTTGTGAATAATTATTTTGAAGGCTCACCTATTCCATATGAAAATGCCAAAGTAGAGAATTCTAATTGGAGAACTCCAGCACTAGACAAAATTCAGAAATATAAACTTATCAAGGTTTGCTCTGATAAGCTAGTAAACAAATTGGTTGAATTAGGTACAGAAACGCTCCAGTATTATCTAAAGCAGTTAGATAAATTTGAAGAGATGGTTAGTTATGGAAAAAGATTTGAAATTTTCTTTGAAAATCAACAAGTATCAGATAGTAAGACAACCTCTATCTCATCTGAAAACTTTGTAGTGGGTCCTGGTAGTTCCAGTAGTTCAGTAAACAATGAACCTATGGAATCTTCTAATAAAAATACAATTATGAATGAATATCAACATATTGATTTCTTTGTCAAAAATAATGAAAGTCCATTTATTGATGACAATGTAAAAGATGAAGTCACTGGAGTACAGGATGATCATATTGATTTTACGACTGAAAGTATGTATCAACAAGAACAGATAAATGAATCTTTAGATGTCCAAAGGTTAAAACTTATTAAACCACCACTTAAAGTTGCTAAAAAAGGCAGGCCTAGAGGTTCTGGCCAAACAGCATTAGGGTTAACTAAAAAAACAGTAAAAAGGAAATGCTGCTTCTGCAAAAAGTGTCATCCTGATAAGAATTTAGGGAAAGGATTCAAAACAAAATGGTTGAAATGCACCAAATGTGTCAGATATTTTCATGATGTGTGCTTAGGAGATAAGCATGATTTACATTTATGTTTATTTTGCATTAGTTAAATAGAGAATAGTTGATAATAACAATGCTTTTTCTTCGTGTTTTTTTATAACATTTTTCAATAAAGTTTCATTAAAGTTTAGAAGTAAAACCCTTATATAAAATCCTCATTTTCATGTGAAGAGTTTATTTTCAAGATGTGGTACAAGTAAAAAGTAAGAAATAACTAATGATAACAAGTAACTTTAAATACAAACAACTTAAAATAAAATTTATTATTGTAAATTTGCTAAAAAATAATAAATTGCAAATTGCATAAAAATTATTTTGTAAAGTAAACAATATTTAAAGTGGTACATTAAAACAAAGTTGCTCATACCGCATTTTTAAAATAAACTGATTATGTAGTCAAGATTAGTTTGAACTTCAAAATCTTCCAATTGTAAATGTTTACTTTAAATTTCCCATTATTTAAGAAATTGTTCAATGTAGTATTATCTAAACCACACAATTGTGGAACTATAAACATTAAATTTAAAGTTTTGCTTATTTTATTTTAGATATCGATAACAACATATGGTTGCCATATAATTTGAATATGATATTTAAGATTAGTACTGACAAACCATTATGGTATGCCAGCATTGATCTAAAATATTTATGAACAAGACTTTGGCATTTCAAACAGATTTTGCAATCTACATAAATGTAAGCAAATATCTTTCATTAATTTACTTAAAATAATTTTATCTTGTTTATGTTTAAAAAAATGATCAGATAGTTGTTTAATGTGACTCTAAAAGGTAAAAATATAAGAAGCTTTTAATAAGATTTTTTTTATATTAAAAAGTGATTAATAGTGGTAAGCGTACCTGCTAGGATGTGTTGTGAAAGACTTTAGTTTTTAAACTTTGGTTTTATTCACTAATGTGCAATTAAATACTTACAAAGTGTTATAGGGACATTCAGCTATCTATTATCGATATTTTTAGTTTAATGTAAATGAATATATCAAGTTTATCACAAATAATTTACTCAAGGTTCTGTTCTTGGTCATCTATTGTTTTTAATTTACATTAATGATCTAAATAACTGTTTACTTCTTGTTGGTTCATCTATTTGCAGATGATACCAATCTCTTGCATGTCAACAAATCATACTATTCTCTATGTAAAAATATAAACTCAGATCTTAAAGGTATAGTTCATTGATTAAATGCCAACCTAATATGTCTTAACACCAAAAAGACTAAACTAATTTTTTATCATCTCTTAAAAAAATGTAACAACAACAAAAAAACTGTAACAATGTTGAAATTAAAATCAAAAAATAAATAATAAACAACTATATCCCACGAGAGTTATTAAATATCTTGGTTTGTTAATTGATTGCAATCTTTCGTGGAACTTCCATATTGATGAGCTGCGCAAAAAACTTTATCGTGCATATGGTATGCTTAGTTATTGTTATCAAATTTGGGGTCAAACTGGCAACTATCATATTAACAAATTAATATCATCTCAATGCCAATCCAATTATTTGATGTGTGGAAGGAACTTTTTTTAATATAATTTCAAAAAATATTACCAAATGTAATATTTCCTGAAATTGTATCATTGATAATCAAATCTGGTCTGTCAAGACATGGCTCATTATCTTGTTTTTATCTTTGAAAAATCTTTTTGTTATTATTATTTTCAAAAATAGTGAATTTATGTTTATTTCAAAACAAAAAATAAAAAAAAAAATTTACTCTAATAATTAAGTTAGTTGAATTCATTTTTGGTTATGGCTTGTGATACTTAATAATATAAAAAATATTATTAATACACAAGTTTTTCTCTTATATATTTAATACAGATAGTTTATAGTAATAAATAGTAAATAACCTAGATCAACTACTTTACCTTAATAAAAACAAGAACACATATAAAATTGCATGTAGATATCTATCATGTAATCTAGAGACAACTATAAACGAAAAAAGTTACCTTATAAGTTACCATAGTTTATTTATGCACATGAACTAGAATTTTTTTCTCAATAAATTGCTCAAAAAACAATTACTTTTAAAGTAAATCATTCATGATTATTTTAGATGCTGGCAAGCCATAATGGATTGCTTAGAACTTATCTAAAACATTTCAATCAAATAAACGCTGCATTAAACTGATGAAATTAATGTTTCCCCAAATAAATGCTGTTGTTGTATTTTGATGGAAATAGACTGTTTTAATATAAAACATTTACTTTAAAAATTGCACAAAATGTTTCTTTAGTAAATAATTTTCGATTTCGATTCAACTGCCAACTAACTTTATTTAATTTAACTGATCCAACCAGCTTTATTGTGAAATATAAATCGCACTCTTATTATAAAATACTTGCGCATGCGTGTACAATATTGCGCTCTGAGCAGCTTATGGCTACATAAAGCGCATTGCGCTCTACTAAGACACTTTGTTTTTTATAACGAGACAGCATTTCGAGTTAAATTACAAGCGTTGGATATTTCCTTGATTGAATATTTTTCACAACTTCTCATTGAAATAATCGTATTTTTAGCTTCTTCTGTAATTGTTTTCCGTTATTTTCTTTCCATTAATATTTAAAATATAAGGTTAAAATTAATTTTATAAATGCACTTATAACTTTGCAAACTTGCACTTATAACTTTGCAAACGTGTACTTATAACATTGCAAAACCCTGTAATAAAACAAAACAAAACATTTTATAGAAACCTTAATAACTAAATAAACGTAAGAAGATATGAAATTTTCAAATTTTCAAAGATATCATTGAATATCATATTAATTATCAAGAAAATAAATTTAAATGCATTTTTATGTCAAAAGATTTCATAGAGTCATATTAAAATAACTATTTATGATAAGTCCACCTTGTGTTATTATTTGTTAACAATAATTGTTAGATTACAAAGCTGTCAGAAATATTTAATATTTAAACTAAGTTTTAAACATTTAAAAAATTACAGTAAATCTAATTCTTAATAATTTAATTATAATATTTTTTCACAACTTTTAAATATCTTAAAATTGAATAAGTAATTAAATAATTTGAAAAACTGAGAAGCAAGAAAATAATTTTCAAGACAGCGTCAACCATTATTTATTTGTGTTATTATATTATTATAAACGCTTTGTTAAATATCATTTTTCTAAAAATTAAAATTTTTTTTTTTTGTTTAAAGATTATGTTTGATGTAAAAGAAATTGATAGATATAATATTAACAATGATTTTTCTATTCTTATGAATGTTAACCGAAACTTATAATTTTGTTCAAAAATTAATTTGACCCTCAAAAAAAAAAACAACGAATTTACACGACTTTATGCAATAATTAACTTTGACATAAATGTGAACAACGATTTTAAAATTTTTGAAGAAATCAAAGACACCCACTCAAACCAAAAAAATTAAAAAAGTAATAAACATACTCTAAATGTTCAGATTTTACAACTGTTTCAACATTTTCAATAACAGATCCAGCAGTGTTTTCTAACTTTAAAGGAGTTATAGATGTAACTGGTTCATCAACTTTTGTACTATCACAAACTATATCGTTGCTCTAACAAGTAAAAATTCAGAAAAAGTTTTTTTCTATTATCAAAATAATGTTCTTATAAAAATATAATTGACATAAATTATAACAATTAATATACATGCAATAATGCAACACTTAACTTCCAAATAATGAGTCAAAAAAGAATTTTAATTACAAAATAAAAAAAGCACTTTTATTACCTCAGATTTTGGTTCTGGATTTATTTGATCAACTACCACATAACCTCCAACCATTTGAGTCTTGATGACAGTACTTTCAATGTATATTTCTTGACTAAAAATGTTTAAAAAAATGTTAAAACTTTATTTTCTTTATGAAAAATCCATACACTAACACTTAAACCTAGAAATAAATCAGGAGGAAAAAACTGATCACATATTAAACATCTTGTCATTACAATATATTGTAAAAACTTTGCAAAAAAAGTAGTTGAAAGTTTCCACACTAACCCAAATCAGGTTGATGTAAAAAGCTATGTTCAAATTGAAAGTTCTGAAAAATTAGTTAAGGGTACTTATATTTTGAATTTTTTTTTAAATTTTCAAAATTAATTATATTTTAATTAAAAGTATTTTCAAAACTTGATGAAAAGTAGTTTTTTTAGTTGACAATCAACCTGGTTTTGCAACAAAAAATGTTTTTTCAAATGTTGTTTACATGATTTTATGTTTACAGAAATAGAAAAAATTAATAGCAATTAGTAAAGTTTTTATTTAGAAAAAAATAAGGTGAACAAGATTTTTCAAAAAAGATTTTCCAATAATTTGAAGAAGCATCAAAAGCTATACTGTGTAGTACTTTTTTTAAAGAAAATATGTTCTTTATCCTAGGCCTACAAAAAAAAGTTTTTTTTTCTGTTGTCATGTAAACAATATGTTTTAAATATAACATTTCTCATTTTGATTTCAAATATGCAAACCTACTTCCATCACATCAGGTATCAAAAGTATTTGGTTCAAAATCCTTAACATTTGGGGTAAAATCCTTAAAATTATCAAAAAATAAATTATTCAGAAGTATGTCAACCTGGGTCTCAAAAGGTTAATTATATTCTCACAACATAAAGTACTTTGGTGCTTTTTCAAATAGCATATTTATGTTGTTTTTTTACTTATATAAACTATTACAAAATTCAAAATGCTAAATGTTCTGCAGATTTTGCTTACTCACTGATTAGTGACTAACCATGTGATTGTGTTAATATCTTATGATAAGTGGATAAGTAACCATGTAAATGCATTAATATCATATCAGTATTTTCAGCAAACAAAGAAATAACTTTTAAATACAACATTTTACTTTTTATAATCATCACCTACTTTATTGTTGGTATAGATTTTTTAGTTTCTTCAACTTTTACATCTAAAGCATAACAGAATATATATATATATATATATATATATATATATATATATATATATATATATATATATATATATATATATATATATATATATATATATATATATATATATATATATATATATATATATATTTTGGTCAATTTATGATAAGTGCAAAATTGCTCATTTTGAGATAAGTATGCAGTTTTGTTATATATATATCGTTAAATCTTTTGTTTGTTCAAACTATGATTGCCGTAGTTTAAAAAAAATAAATTATGTTTATGAGAAATAATTCATTTTTAATTATTACTCGATTTTTATAATTTATTTTTTATTATACCCAACAGATAAAAATTTCAAACTCTTCTCCTGCAAAATATCCTACTTGCACTTACCTTTGACCAATGACCACATATATATACAAATAATTTTAAATGTATTCTATAAAATAGATTTATTTACTCCAGTTTATTCAATTTATTTATGTAATAATAAAGCTAAGTTCAATTACCAAATTATTGAAAAAATAAACACCAAATACACAGAAAATGTGTTTAATGCTCTTCCTAATATATATATATATATATATATATATATATATATATATATATATATATATATATATATATATATATATATATATATATATATATAAGATACTGGTCAAAATTATAGCACAAATGTAAAATAAAAACTGAATGATAAAAATTTAATGGAGGGTTGAATGAGAATTTATAATTTTTTTTTTCTAAAGAATAACATTTTACATTTTACAAAATTGAATGAAAATTAAAAATACATTTAAAGTTAACAAGCTTTAAAGTTCATTTGGGAATAATACAGAAAAATAAGCTGGTCAAAATTATAGCACATAGTACTAATTTTAGATAAAAAAAAAAAACATTAGAGTTTAATTTAATGTGAAGAAATGTTGGATCCTATTGCTCTAAAAATTCGAGAAACACAATCAGGAACAGAATTTATCAATTTAATGCAAAGATCAATTAAAGTCTTATCCCAAATGTCTTGAATTACATCCTTTAAGTCATTTGTGTTGCTTATGTTGTTATGTTTTCAAGTTTTTGGTCAATATACCAAAGATTTTTAATTGGATTTGCATCTGGTGAAGTGGGTGGCCGTTTTAGGAGCAGTACATTCTTCCTTGCAAACCATTTCAAAGTTTTTTTTTGCTTTGTGACACAGTGCGTTGTCTTGCATAAAATAATAATCTTCAGCTTCAGAATAAAAAAGTCCATACAATCAGATAATTCAGCAATAACTTCTAAATAACAAGAAGTATTCAAATGACTTTTGTAAAACTTCAATAAACCTATTCTATTTTCAGAAAAAAATCCCCATACAGAAATATACCATCACCTTGTGCTCTTGTTGTAAAATTAAATGGTAAATCTTTTTCATTAGGAAGACAACGTACAAACTTAAGATTCTTTCTATTTATGACTTCAAAATTTGATTCATCTCTAAACATTACATGATGCCATTGATTTCGTGTCCAACAAACATTTTTACACCAAGTGAGTCTCTTCTTTTTGTGAGCCTTATTTTGATAACAATGTCGTTTTTGTGTGTGACTTTTCAACCTCTTTTCTAACAAACGATGACGAACTCTTCTTACACTAATAGTTTTTTTTTTTTGCTGCATTCAACAGTTTTTCTACTTGAATCAGTACAATTTTATGTAGCTAGTGTCATTGTATAGCCGTCTTCTGCAGAATTAGGCATTTATGATGTCCTTGACCTGGTCACTTTTATATTGGTAAATTCAATTTAATTTAATCAGCAATATTGTAGACAAACTTTCTGGAAGTATTAGCATGTATCAGCAATATTAAATTGCTGTTGAAGTAAGTTTTTTACACGTTGTTGCAGCTCAAAGCACACTGCTTTGCAAACCATTGCATAAATTATGTTTTAATTTTAAAATTACTGAAAAAACTTTGAAAATTTATTAGATTTGCTATTTTAAATAACTATCTATGATGCTAGTAAATAAATAAAATATCATACACAACAATGCATTTAATCATATTCACTGTCAAAATTACATATGAATGTGCATGTGCTATAAATTTGACCAATATTTTTTGTATATGTTTGTTAAAGTGTTCATTTCAGATGAATAATGGACAAAAATTTTAAATTTATGTGCACATTTTAATTGACTAATGTAAACGCATTTTAATAATATAGTACCTTTCACAGTATAAGATAAATGCATACAAAAGTTTTACATGACAATCTTATTTTAAGAAGTTGTGCTAAAACTTTGACTGGTACTTTATATACACATAAAACATTTGGAACTTTTTATATCTTATCAGAATCTTTTATGCCTTGTGGGAATCTTTTATGTCATATTTGTAAAAAAGATGAAACAAGATTGATAGCAAGTCAAGATAAAGTGGCAGTAATCTGCATTAATTTTTCTCAAAATTATTCTCAAGTTACAAAAAAGGTCTACCAGTTACACAAAGCTACACTAAGACGTCTATAAATGCTAGTTCAAGGCAAACATTCCAAGGCTATGTAAAAAATAGTTTTCCTCTATAGATACTATCAAGTAAAAAAAACTAAACTGATTACTATCATTAATGTATTCACCCTGTGTTGGTTGAGAGTCTTGTTTATTAACTTCCATTTCTATTTCATCTGTTGTATTTTTCTTTCTAAAATTAAAATTTGAACAAAAATTTATGATAAAAATAACCATTTATTATACATAGATGAGTATTTGACTTTATGAAAATCCCGGAAATTTTTTTCTATGAAAATCTCAAAAAATTATTTTATTAAAAATCATATTAACAGACAAAACTTTTGTAAACTTTTAAAACAGAGTTTAGATTATTTAACTTTTTACAAAAAAGAATTTCTAATATATGAAAAAGTTAATTTGAATGAATTAATAAGCAAAAAAAAAAAAAAAAAATTGTTACGAAAATTTATCTCGTGAAAATTTTAATTATAGAAAACATATTTGTTTAAATACAAAAATTTTATGTAAAAATGTTTTTTTTTTTTTCAAATTAATAAAAAACATTTGGAAATATCTGGAAAATTAAAGGAGTTTTAAGTGAATTTCCGGAATTCCGGGAATTCCCGGAAAAAACTCATCTATGATTATAAATATAAATGTATTTGATTTTTAAAAATATTTTAATTGTATGCATAATAATTTTCAAATACATCAAAAAATTTATTAGTTATAAAAGTTGTCAAAAATTGATTAATAGTTATAGTAGTTTCAAAGTAAAAAAAACAAAAAAAAAAATTATAAAAATAAAAGCAT